AGTGTTGCAATCAAATAAAACTTACAACCAAGTTAATCTGACACATTTATTGATGTGTATAATTGTTATTGGACTGCACCGCAATTAGGCATAAATGGTAGGTCGTTCCTGTGCGCGACTGTAATTAGTAATTCTCGTTTTTGGCCCAATCAAGTTTGCATTTTTTTTTTTTATAAGCATGGAAGCTCCCCCGTGTCTATAAACATTGATCATTGACTGTTTTCTGATTCACTTATTCCTTTATTCATCCATTTATTTTTCAAAGCTATAAAATGGTGCTTTGGAGATCTCATTCTAATGCTTATTGGGTGGTATGGATGAGTCATTCTGCGTCTCTTGGCTTTAGTTTACATAGCTGTAAAATGGGAGTGAATCCCCAGCCTGCAGCCAGTGATGTTTAGGGGGTCACTGCTGAGACCTCATCCTCTCCAGGCAGGTAGGGCTGGGAAACTTCTGGTTTTCTACTGCCCAGCCCTTGGGAAACGTGGGGTAGTTTGAGTGCCCACATAGGGCAGAAGGCTCTTATTAAATGCTTGATCTGCTCTTGTCCCAGAGGATGTCTTATCATGCTTTAGAGAATTCTTAGTGACTTGAGACAAAATTGGGGAGAAGGTGGGGAAGCTGGTCCTCATAATCCACTGAAAGCAGAGGCTTTGGGTCAAAGAGATTGGAGAGAGACCAAAACCCTTCTGGAGGAAAGTTTCCCACATTAAGGAGCGACTGGGAAAATGGCCTGGAGCAGGCAGGGACTGTGGGGGCTCTCAGTGAGACCAGAGCTGCGGGCAGGCACATGGAGGGTGGGGGAGGGTAGGGCAGAAAGCCAGGGGGCCTGCACTAGGAGAGTGAGGTGTTAGTGGCTCCTTGAGCTGGGAGACAGCAGCCCTGTTAACTTTGCCCTGGCACTTACCCACTGCAGTGTGGGCAACTTATTTGGACTTTCTGATTCTCAGACTGTTCATCTTTGAAATGGGATCACTGCAGACTGAGGTCAATGTCTTGAATATATTTCCTGCCCTTACTACTTCTGCACAAACAGCCCAAACTCTGACACTTGCATGGCTTTTCCTGATGCTTTATCCTGCCCAGGGTCCACCTTACAGCCTGTGGCTGGGCTCAACAGCCTCTGGAGACCAGCCTAAGCCAAAGATTGTGCATATGTACTCCAGCTCCTGCACCCCTGAGTGGGAAACTCTTGGGTTGCATGTTCTACTTGCTTTTCGACGTCCTGGTGACATGAAGCCCCAGTGGCTTCCCATCTTTACTCTCACATCCCATTGGGAACTAGCAGCTCAGTTTTCAAGGGGCTCCAGCTGTTGAGGAATTGGGAACAGAGGCTGAGCCAGCTCTGCTGGCACTTGGGTTGTGGAAAACCAAGGACTGGACACTCCTAGGATGGAGGCAGGATGGGGGGCTTGTCTGGTGGGAAGCCACGTGGTCCAGGGCAGATTGCTGCTCCGGAAGCCATCTCCATGGGCCTCCTCATCCCAGCTCCTGTCTGGAGGCCGAGGCAGGCAATAAATCCCTTTGGTAGAGCTGGTCCCAGCATGGGCCACCCTGCAGAAAGGCTTCATCAGCGGCCTCATTTGCATAAGATAATGAAACCGCAGTAAAAATAGTAAAAGAAAAAATGGCCTGGCAACTTTGTTTCCATAATGACAGATGCTTCTTAAACACTCAGCTTCTGTTTCCTAAGGAAGTGCCATTAAGGCCTTCCGGGAGCCAAGTGCCCTGCCCAACCTGATTCTTGGGTTGGTGACCTGCAGCCCTGGGAGTGCTCGGGCCCTGACCTCTGCCTGCGCCTGGCAGGCTCCAAATGGATAGACTGGGGAGACAGGAGCAGGAAAAGCAGCTGACAGAAGAGCAGAGAAGGGTCTCTCATAGTCCAACACTGTGCCTTTGCCATGTGTTTTCATAGGAAGATTTTCCTTCACTTATGCACCTGCTGCTCGGGGCAGTCCAATGGGCATCCCCACCACACAGGAGTGGGAACTCAATCTTGAGAATGGGCCAAGGTCACCTGCTGAAATCAAGGTGGTGAAGGGCCATAAAGCTTGTCTTATTTAGAGTCCTTGTCTAAATAGGTAGTTTTGAGACAGGGTCCCTGACTCGGGTGGTGGTGCGTGCCTGGGGAAGGTGGAGCCAGCCCTTTGGGTCTCAGACTTCTGTGCTCTGAGCAGCTTGTATAGGTATGCATAAATCAAGGGGATAGTTACTTGGGACATGACTCCTCCAGACCTAGAATCTCCTTCCCAATCATGTTGTCCCGATACCGCTGAGGCCCTGGAGTTCTGCCGGCCGCCCATACTTTCTCTCTGGGTTGTGAGTCCAGCGAGACCAGAATTTCAAGCACTGTAGCCCACTGAGTCCTGGTTTTCACTCGTTTCTGCAGCTGTTTCCAGGGCTTTGGCTTGGCTAACCTGGCACTGGTGGACTAGAAGTTTGCATATTTTAGGAGGCCTGCCCAATCCACATAGCTTTCTTTGGAATTTTCCAGTTTTCTCAATATTCTTAAAGCAAAGACCCTGGGTCCAACAATACAACCATGACTACTCTGTGTGATCCCCTTGTGACCCCTGGCTACAGTGGATTGGACCAGCTGACCCAAACTTGCCCAGTCATAGCCACACTTCCAGAAATTAGAACAGGGGCCTCAAGAGACTGAGCAATGTTGGGGGGGACCTTTGGACTATAGGGCCATGGTGAATCAGAGTCTGAGCTGTGTTAGGGTCTGCAGTGAGCATGAAAGGAGATAGTGTTGTTAAAAACTTAGCATGGCACCTGCTACCTAGGAAGCCCTAAATAGGGTTCATAGGAGGACCTGGGAGGTTCTGGATGCAAACTTGTCTCCACCAATGACATCTGCTTGCATGCATGGGATCTGGGAGGCAGGAGGGAAGCAGAGGCTATTGTCCTGACCTGCCTTGGCCCTGTTGTAGTGACAGGGGCTCCTCAGCAGCATCACTACATTCTCTAGCTCCAGATTCCCAGAGGGCAAGAAGCAGTTGTGTTGGGGGTGGTGGAGGCAGCAGCTTCTTGGCCCAGGCTTCCTGGCCCGATGACTGGATGACAGCCCTGGGGGTATGTTTTGGCCTCATAGTTCTAGTACAGCCTCAGAAGTTACTGTCCTGGAGGGGTTATTTCTGGGAGCCAGTGGAAGCCCAGTCTGGTTTTGCACCCTTGGCGTCCATTGCTTCTGTAAACATCTGCATTGTTCCTCCCTGCTGAAAATGTCTCATCCTGGACCCAGATTATGTGTAGAGTTTCCCCTTCCTGAGAGTAACTGACTTAGACCATTCTTGTTTGCACTTTGAAAAAGCTCATGCAAGCTCTGATTGGCCAAAGTTGGATAAGATGCCCACTCAACGCCCCAACAGTGGCCAGTGGGCAGTGTCCCAAAGGGCATGGCAACTCCCCAGGGAGCTATGTGGGCTGAGGTGGGTTGAGGAGGGACGTGCCCCCCAGAAGTGAAGCCAGAAGTCAGGTGATATCAGGGTCAGACGCTGGCCCCTCTGTGTCTGACGAGAGTCCTACCTGGACAGTGGAGCTCTGGGGGAGCCCACACAGCTGAAGTGCCCTCTGGCTCCCAGGAGAGAAGATGAGCAGAAAACACAAGTCCAGGGGGGGCCTGTTTTCTAGAAACATTTCTTTATTTAAAATTTAAAACCATATTACTTCATACAGCAAACTGTGCACTTTGATATATCACAGTGTCTTAAAAAGGAAAATAATTGGATTTGTTTGGAAATTTATTTACATCAGCCTAGAATGATTGGCAAGTAACACAGTTACTATGAAACCCAAATTGTTACAAAATGTTTACAAAAAACTATATTCATAGAAATTCTGCATGTCCACAAAGGGCATCCCCTGAATGGCCCAAAGACCAGTGTGTGGGAACCGTGTTGAGCGGGAGTGGGGGGGCATCCAGGCACTCTGGTCTGGGTGGTGGGACAGGTCTGGGGTCTCCCATGGTGCTGTCTGGGGACCCAAGTCCCCATCCCAGGAGGCCCAGCCAGGAAGTCGGCCCAGGCAGAGGTGGGCTGGGGGATTGAGCACAGTGGCATGAGGGCCCTGGAGCCTCCAGTTCTGTTTCAGGGCATTGGGCTCAGATGTGTTCTGGCCAGGGACTGAGACAGTCCTACCAATAGGTGCAGGTTAGCCTGATGCATGGGGTCAAGATAGGCTGTGAACCATGGGACCCTGTTCTGGATCTCTTCTCTCGCTTGCTCCAGAGATGCTCTGGCCCATGGCAGGGCAGGCCCGATAGTTAAGGATTGGAATTGGGAAGAACAGACAGATTTGGGTGGGACAGAGATGGAGGTTGGGGGTGTTGCAGGGGAGAGGCCCTCTGCTAAATGCCATGCAGGGGAGATACAACGAGGGAGAGAAGGCAGATGGCATGGGCTGTGCTAGGACAGGCAGTGCTCAGGCCGCTCATCTTTCACCCCGTCACTGTTCTGCTCATTCCCAGCCCCTCAGCCACTCTCTGACAGCTGGCCTCTGGGTCAGCTGGGACTGGGGAGGTTGTCAAATGGGACAACTCTTGGCTGGCATTATTGGGTCTGCAGCTGCTTTCCTACAACTAGAGGGCTCAGAGTTTGGATCTGTGAAAGATGTGGGGTGTTTTGAGATCTTCTGTTCTAGAAGGCAGGGGATGGAGGGAGGTCCATAACTAGTGCATCTGGACACTGCTGGCAGACTGGCAGTGTCCCTGGGGCCATTCTCATTAAAATAATGTCTTCCCCAGCTAGGAGCTGTGCCTTTGCATGTGGGTGAGACTCCGAGACAGAGACCATTGCCACCTTGACTATCCCATCTTTCTAGGGTATTCCCGGTGAAGCTTGACACCTACCTGGCTCTGGGCAGGCAGGTCTGCTACAGGTCTCAGGGCCAAGTACTAGTGTGACACTGCTCCCCAGCACAGGCCTAGCTGTCCTTGGCCACTCTTGCTCTGGACCCCTCTCCCCTACTTTTCCCCTGTCTTCTCCCCTACCTTTCCCCTGTCGTCTCCCCCACCTTCCTCCTGTCCTCCCCCCAAGCACGCACAAGGCCCATTCACCAGCCCCCTCTAGCTCTGTCATCTTCCCTGTCTGGAGCTTTGACAAGTTCAGGCACTCTGCAGCCCTGGCCCCAGGCCACTTCTGTCCCAGGTAACCCCGGCTTTGCTGCCGCAGCCCCCATCTCTCACCTGGTCCCCATCCATACTGGCTGGGTTATGTACACTCTGTGTGCAGACGTGCAGGGAGGGGCGCGTATACACATGGGCTACAGGTCATATATACACTGTGCATATATATATATATACAGCATATATATATATCTTTTTACATTCATACACATATTGTACAGAACATTAACCTTCTACCAAAAAGGTTTGTGACTTCACATATGGCCTCAGCTCTAAAACTTTAACTCGAGGACAACTCCAGACTGCAGCGAGTGCTTGGTTCATACCTACATGGGGACAGAGGGCAGAGCTCTTCCCTGGTGGCAAGCAGCTGGACCTGTTCTAGATGTGTCCATCCAACCTGGGAGGCTGTTGCAGATGTATCCACTTCAGAGACTTGTCTACCAAGTTGGACTCATTTGTTGCATCTGTCCACGGGGCGGGGCCTGTCCCAGATGTTAAGTCCATACATCTGTTTGTCTAAGCTGATAGGCCCTTTCCAGAATGCTATCCACACCAGACCATTCCAGACATGGGCCAGAGTTTGGCATATTCGAGATGTTTGTGCAGATAGCTGGGAATGGCTGGGGAGGGACCAGCTTCGTGCTGCGTGATGAAAAATCAGCTGCAAAGCCCTCCCCCCACATCATCCCTGGAAAGAAGGCAGAGAGGGAGCATCTGATTGTTCTTGGTGAGTGTCTGGGTCTGACTTCCGCTCTCCTCCAGTTTAAGCAGGGGAGAACTTTGAGCCATTTGGAGCCCTCCACAGGCTGAGCCAGAATCCCTGTCTGCCAGTGCTGGGCAGTGGGAGGGAGCCAGGGTGTGTTCTTCTAGTTGAGGCAGAGTCTCGGCTGTGCGGAGGGAAGGGCACACCCCTCAGAGATAGGGGGTCAGCTCACTGATCAAGGGGACATCATCCCTCTCAAGGGCCACCTGAGTGCAAAGCTCTCAGGGTTTTCTTGTCTGTCCATGGCAGAGGCCAGTCACAGGTCAAGGGGAGAGAGATGAGGAAGCTTCACTGTCCAACAGCCCCAGGGTGGGGTGTGCGGTGTCCTCACTGCTGCCCTTCAATCTGGCCAGTCTGAACAGGTTGAGAGGAGGCACTGGCACGTTGGTTGGGCTAGGAGATGGGGATGGAAGATGGGGCACTCCACTGGTGAAGGCTGGTGTGGGGGACCCCCCAAGGGGAATAGTCCCACCTTCTGTGCCAATCCAAACCAGCGGTTACGCTTCCCAGTCACCCACCCAGCCACCTCTTCAGTGCTTGTGTGTGCGCACACACCCACTGCTCCCCCCCTCCACGGTCACTCCCGCTGGCAGGTAGGTGTAGATTTTAATTTTTGCTGGGGGCCTCTCCCTCCATGCCCAAGATACAGGGGAACGCTCAGGACCCTGGGAGACAGCTCACACTCAGGCAGAGCAGTTGCTACTGCACTTTGAACACTGGGCTGGTCTCAAAGACAAACAGGACATCAGGCAGAGGCGGCACGCCGGCCATGCACACGGACATAAGGCTTGAACAGGAGAGAAGATTGGGCAGTATGTCACCCCACAGCCACTGCAGAGTCTGAAAAATCAGTTCCATATCTTTCAGGGGGTTCTCTAGTTGCATTGTGCCTCTACTAGCCACCGTCTTCTCCTCCTTCATGGAAAGATCTCCCTACCCCTCGCTGCCTCCTTCCTTCCTCCCATCACAGTCTGTATGTGCATAGCCTCAGAAGAACATAACATGTTCATGGAGTGCTGGACGAAGCCCCCACTGGCGTGGGGACATGTGTATGGATGTGGGCGTGTGCTGTGAAATTATACTGGACAAAGGAAGATAGTGGTTAATCGCTATGGTTGGTTGAAAGCAAATTGGAAATAACATCATTAGAGTCCTGTTATTTGGGAATTGCAAAGACATGTTTCCCCTCCAACAGGACACTGCCTTGAGCAAAGGAGTCACCAGCCAGGAGTCCCTGAAGTGTTTTGCCCCCACTTGGCCAGTCTCCCTGTGACTACGTTGATCCAATTTGGCAAATCTTTGTGACATAGGATCTCTCCCCATGACAGAAGTGCAAACAGACCCTGGCTCCCTGCCTTCCTGATTGTCTCTGCCCCTGCTGTGAGCTGGAACGTGTAAGTTTACGCACACGTGTGTGAGCACACAAACCCCCACAGACCCCAGTTCCATGGCTTCTCATGAACAACGTGCACCGATGGCGCTGCATGTCTGTCTGGTTCTGTCCTCCCATTCTCTCCTGCACACCCACACACACAGGCAGACACCTGATGACATGGCTTCTCCCTTTAAATATATTTGGCAATGCTGCTGGTTTTATCTTGTCATCCACCCTCTGCCATTTGGTGCACAAATGTGTGCATGCATGAACACGCACACACTCGTGCATGTATATGTACAAGTGTATACTCACCAGAACCCCATTACAACATGGCTTTTCCTGTTTTTACATGTACGGGGCTCTGCTGCTTGACCATATTTATCTCCTGCATCCCCAATTCACATACATGTTCATGCACACACACACATCAGAACAGTAGGATCCTCCTATTATTGCATGCCCTGGACTCTGTCATGTGTCCAAATCTGTCCTTCACTCCCAGCCCCCAAAGCTCACTCATACGAAGACAAAGACACACATAAATGCATGCACACGCACACACACGCACACGCGTGCACACTCCTACCCATGGAAGCTCATGTCAGCAGGGCTCTTGCTATCATCACACGCGTTGGTTCTGTTGCGGTCCGGCCCTCTCTCCCCAGCCTCCTGTGCACACCGCCTGTCAGAGCTGCTGTGATTCTGGGAACCAGCTGCTTGGGTCCTGCAGCTCACAGTTTAGAAGATGGAGCGTATTTATCCTATGAGCCCACTGTGCTCGCCTGCTTTGGGAGTCCCTGGGGGGAGCTAGAGATTACCCTTCACTCAGCTGAGAAGGTCCTTGAGCCTGAAATGCAGCTCCTCTCTAACCAGGCCCCTGAGCAGAATCAGGAGAGGGGTGGGAGGAGGGTGGCCGGCGTCTCCTGGGTCCCTGTCCAGAGCCGCTGCTCCCTTTCTCCTGCTCAGAGGCTGCCCTCTGTGACCATGGGAAGTCCCGCTGGTCCCATTCTGTTTTCTTTAAGGACACTTTGCTCCTAACCCTTTTATGTCCCATTCTTTTCCCAGGGTCCTAAAATCACAGCCCTCTAGAGCCACCATCACCGCCAGCTGGCCCACCCTCACTGGTACCTCATTGGCTGCTATTTCTCCGTTGTTCCCCCCAAGTCCCACAAGGTCCCAGCTGCTCTGGACATGAGACCAAGGGCCATGATGGCCTTGTCTCTCTGCATGGGTCTTTGGTTAATCTCCAGGAGGCAGCTTGCTCACTGCCCTCCCTTGGGGCTGCTACCAATATGATATCCTGCCCTGGAAAGCTTTCTTTTCCTGGGGAGTAGCTTTAGGGTTAGCAAGTCTGGAGGCCAGTAGTTCTTTAGGGCCCTTCTGGCTTTCTCCACCTACCCCAAAGTTAGCTCATGCAGTGGGACGCCACCCCTCCTTGCGGGGGTTGTGACGACTTTCACTATAATCTAGGCTACCCTTCTTTCAAGATGACAGAAGGAAGTCAAGGTCAACTGGCCAGATGGGAAGTTGCTGATGAGTAGATGGCCAAGAGCCTAAGCTCCCAAATGCTATAAGGGTGTAGAAAACAGCTTGGGAATAAGCACAGTAAGGTCCAAGGCTCAAGAGCCCATGAGATTCCCATGATATCCACTGGTCCTCTGGGCTCCAAATATCGGCTGAGTCTCTGGGTCTCCTTTGCGAGAGATTCAGGGGGTCCTCACTCCTCTGGTCGGAAAATGGAGAAAATTTGTTTGGACATTTCCCCACCTTATACTCCCAGAGTCCTCCTAGAGGAATCGGAGCCAATGGGACATTGTCCATCAGGATTCAAAATGGCGGCCTCCATGCATTCTCCTTTTCTCCTATACCTGAACTCCGTTTCTCCCCTGTGGGGCTCTCTGTTTTCAAAACAGGGGCTACCACGGGTGGTGCCAAGTACTGGAGATCAAGACTGTGTAAGCAGCTCCTGAGGGATGAAGTCCTTCTTCTGCCCAGGTATGTGGTGCTGCCATCCCCCACCTTCAGCTACCATTGGCTGCCACGCTGTGAAATCCCTAAGGTGCCCAAGATTTGCATCTTTCGTCTCACGGTCAAGCCCAGGAGGCCTGAGCTCCTGGGGAAGAAGTGGTGATAGAAGAGCTGTTCCCCAATTTCTTTGGCCTCTGCAGGGCCATGGTTGTCACTTCTGACCATGGAGAGAGTTGAGGGGCAGGTGAGTTTGGCCTGAGAGAGGCATGTGCTTCCTTTGGCCTTGGCTGTCTTGGCTGGCAGCTTTAGAAACCCATAGAAGAAACAAGAGAAGAGTGAAGCCCAAGCAACTGGCCTGGGGGCCTGCTGGTTTCCCAGTGGGAGAGGGCAGAGGGCCCCTGGCCCATTAGCCAGGCAGCCGCTCTGGTCCCCAAGCCCAGTAGGGGGACAGGGGACGCTCCTTCCAGTCTCCTTTGCTTTCCTCCATCCTGCCCCCAGGCCTGTGGGCCCCACCACACCTGTGCCTAGGGGAACACAGGGGCCAGTGATGTGCTGCAGGTCATGCTGTCCTTGCCCGGGAGCCGGCGGTCATTGAATGTGTGCATGTTGATGACAGCGTCAGTTTTGACCATCATGGGAGGCTGTGGCTTGTGCTTGACACGACGCTGGCAGGTAAGGGAGAAACGGATCTCGTCGGCCACGGTGCTGCAGAAGGAACGCTGAGGAGGGGGAGGAGAAATGAAAAGGGGCACATGGGTCAGGCCTGGCCCTGCAGCTCCAACCAGAAACCCCGCTTCCTCCCAGAGCCGGTGCTAAGGCCACCAGGTCTGGCTCACGCCTCCACTCCATCCACCCTCCCTCCACGCAAGATGATCAGTCTATGTGGCAGCCTACAAAGCCTCACGTTCTTGTTTGGAGACTTGGGTAGGTAGGAGCATCTTGTCCCCATCCTACAGATGAGGGCACTGAGGGTCTGATTGGCATGCACATCTGATTTTTCCTCACTTGTTTAGAGGCCAGAAACAGCCAGTTTTGTCCTGTGACCCCAACCTCCACCAAACTCCTGGCCCAGAGCTAGAGCTTAAGAAACACTGGAATGTATGGATGAGCCTTTCCCCAGAGGGGGTCCAGCTGAGAGGCTGGCACTCAGGGAGGTCTAGCATGTGAATCTCAAGGTGGGCAACTGGGAGGAGCTCCCTGGGTGGCTGTGGCCACCTCTGACCTGTGTCTCTGGGGGATGCAAGAGGACAACACACGTGCAGTGCAGGTCACAGGTATCCACGGCTGCGGCTTCTACGAGACCAACAGCCAGAGGTGGTCCTGCGGCTTGTCCAGGAAGCAGGGGGAGCCCTCTGTGCCACAACTTATTTGGTGAGGCTGAGCATCAGCACCTAGGCAGACTGTGCAGGGAAACAGGCCTGGCTTGGAATCCTGGCTCTGTCTCTTGCCAGCTGTGTGGTCCCTCTGCTCACCCAATCAACACAGAATGTCATCCCATCTCAGCTCCTTGTCTTCATTCTGAAAATATTTGTTGAGACCCTACTTGCATGGGCCCTGTTCTAGGTGCTAGCCACACCGCAGTGAAAAAGCTCAGGACCTATGGGCTAATGATGGGATAGAAACAGATAACAAGCGTGAGAGCAAACAAATAATTTTAGGTAGTGAGAACTACTATTAAGAGAATAAGTCAGTTAATGGGATAGAGAGGGGTTGGAAGGGGAGATGGTGGGAGCTTACTTGAGAGGGTGACATTTGGGTTAAAACCTGAATGACCAGAAGATGCCAAGAATTTGGGATCCAGGAGAAGAGCACTGAAGATGGCCGGAGCAGCCCTGCAAAGACCCCGAGGCAGAAACGCACTTGGTGCACTACGGGCTAGAAAGGAGGCCAGTGTGTATGGAGCGGAGCAAGAGAGGAGAGGGTGGGAAGGAGTGGGCAGGAGAGCTGGGTGGGCACCAGGTCCCGTAGGCTTCTTGGCAGCACGTGGAGCTCATTACAATGGTAATGGGAATTCCTACAGAATTTGGTTGGTCTTTTTTGATGGATCATTTTTAGCCATTCCCTATTATTGAGCATTTAGGTTCATTCCTCTTTTTTTCATGTTATAATTAACACTTTGACAAACATCCTTGTAAATAAAACTGCACAAATCCTTGGCTGCTTCCATTGGGAGAATTTCTAGTTGTAGAAACTGACTAGTCAAAATGTGTTGACATTTTAAAAGACTGACCATACTGCAAAGCTACCTTCCAGAAATGTACTCTCAAGGAGCTCCCTAGCAATGCTGCAGCACACCCCTTTCCCCGAGTCCATGTTAACCCTAACACGAGAATGAGCTTCCCTCCTCTTTGCTGACTCAGGGTGACTGGTTACAAAGGACTCTCTCATTTTTGGTGGGTGGCGGACTAGCCTGCTGCTTTTCACTCCGCTCTCCTGCATGGACTCAGCTGCAGTCTCCTTGCACACTGGCTCTGCAGGCCTCCAAACTTGTCTGGGGGAGGTGCCTCCCCTCCAGCTCAGAGCCCTCAACTCAGGTGCACATTTAAATCACCCTGGGCACTTTCTTAAGACACCACTGCCAGGCTCCCCCACAGACCAATTAAAAGAAGAGTCTCTGGGCGCAGGGCCAGGGCATTAACACTTAAACTCTCCCTGAGATGCTAATTTGCTACCTGGACCCAGATCCGCTACCCAGCTACACTTGAATTAATCAGGTGGGTTGGGCCTTGTTTTACCATGCTTGGGCTAGCCTCTTAGCTCCTCTTTAAACTTTTGGTATGGAAATTTCCAAACATATGCAGGAGTAGAGAGAACAGTATAATGAACCCCTCTGTGCCCATCTCCCAAGCTTCAACAGTTGAGGGGGGCGGGGGGGTGGGTGGTGTGCGGCTGGCAAGGCTTCCTGGAGGGGCGGCTGCAGGGGGGGCTGTGCTGAGGGTGGCTTAGACACGGCCATGTGCCGGCATGTGGCTGTGAAGCCAGCGCCCATCTCCCGCTCCCGCCTCTTGCTGTGCCGTTCTCGGGACTTACCTGCTCTCGTTCTGCTGTTTTGCGGAGCTTGTACACGAACTCGCCCACGGCCACGAGCACGGAGAGGACCAGGCCGGCGGCCAGGACGATGAAGATGCCCCCGATCTTCTGGATGCCGAGGGCGCTGGCCTCTTTGTTTTCCTCCTCGGGACACCCGCTGCCCCGCCACCACTTCTCCTTCATGATGTGCAGCTTGTCCTCCTCCTGCAGCTGCAGGATGGCGATGGTGATCTTGTCCCGGTATGGCGAGCCTGGGAGGGGAGGCCCTGGCTGTCAGCGCCTGCACCCGCCCCGGCACCCCTTCCAGTACCCTGGCTGGTGCCCGCCACCACCCAGCCCTCTCAGTATGCTAATAAAAGGAAGTGCCTGCTGTCAGAGGCCCCTCTGTATTTTCTCATGGGAATAATTTTGGGTTATGACATCACGCGGGTTTCAGGTGTACGGCTGAATTAATATCTGTACACACAACCTCATATCTGCCACCAGAATTCTAACTTCCACCCATCACCATGAGGTCCACCCCATCTATCCTCCTTCCCTACCCCTCTGCACACTTCCAGCAGGTGCCACTTAAGTGTATATATGGCATCTGGGTGGCAGGAAGGGTCCTGCCTTGGGGTGGGGCGTCTCGCTTGTGAACACCGTTCTCCTCGCTGGCTCAGTGTGTCCGAGCTGCGTCAACAGGTGTGAGGTCAGGGCCAGCAGGGGCCTGAGCCCCGACGCCCAGCCTGTGCTCGCCCCACTCTCCTCTGCAGGGGGCAGGGCTGCCCTCACGTGCTGTGAGGCTCACCCTCCGCCCCTTCATCTCTGAGTCCAGGAAGTGACATTTTTCTGGGCTCAATGGAACGTGCTGGGTGGGGGAGCAGGAGACTGTGTGCATGTGTGTACATGGGGGCCCCGCCCGTCCCTATCCCTGCAGCCCCTCGCTCACCCATGGGCGTGCCAATGCCATAGCCCTTGGAGTCGATGAGGCCCCCGATCTGGGTGAGGTTGCAGTTCCTCTGGGTGATATACTCGATGGTCGTGGACTCCATGAGCAGTGCGTAGTCCGCCGTCAGGGTCCTCTGGATGCCCTCCTCATTGTTCTTCACCAGCGCCGAGGGCTTGCTGCTCATGAAGGCCCACATCTTCTCGAAAGTGGAGATCTTGGATTTCTGGACCATAAGGGGAGGGAAGATGAACACACAGTTACTGAACACACCAAGGACCAAGCATTGCTCATCCGCTTGCCAGGGCAGGGTCATAGAGTTTCCCGCTGTCCTCAGAGGGAGGAAGTGCTGCCCAGTGCTCAATGAGGAAATGGAGGCACTGGGAGGGCAGACTCCAAATGCACAGAGAGCGGGGATCAAGCAGAGACTCACTCAGGCCCACCTACCTGGAAACCCTGGGCTCTTTGCTATGGCACAAGAGGTTGTCAGACTGATATTGGCAAATGAATTTTCCCTTATGTATATTAAACAATTTCATGTTCAGGCCCTGTTCTAAGTGCTTTATCTGCACCGGAGGTGGTACAGTCATTAGGCCCATTTTACAGATGGGGACATTGAGGCATGGTTAGTAACTTCCTAAGGTTACTCAGGAGCAATGTGCCAACTAGAGTCCATGCCCCTAATCACTCAGTTGTACCCTCACTCCCCACATTGAGAGCAGAGGGGAAGAGGTGCCTTGAGAGCAAAGCCGGAGGTTCTAGGACTTCCACTCCTATTTCCACCAAAGCAGGTGACTCATGCACTGTGTGTCAGGCAGAGGTGAAAACAGCTGAGTGGGAAGGAGAGGGGATGGCCAGAGGAGGGGTCTGTGAGCCTTCTGTCCCCTTACCATGGTGGTCCCCAGCATGTTTGGGGCTGGATGCTGCTGTGGGAAGGAATCAGCATCTATGAGTCCAGGCCTTGCCCCACCTGGCCTGGCAGGGGAGATTCAGAGAAGGTGCTGGAGTGTGGGGGCAGGCTGAATGCCCCCTGCTTTCTGAGGGAATTGGGTGGATCAGGACGATGGCATTCACGAGGATTCTTGGAGTGTAGTGCCTGCCAGCTGCCTGCTCCCAGCAGGATCAGCCCTGCCCCCACTGGTCCCAGAGGAGCAGGTGGCTCTGCAGGTCCCATTGTCTCTGGCTGTTTCCAAGTGTGACTGTGCCTGTCTGTGATGTCAGCCTGTCTGACTGGCACCCAGCCCAGTCCTGGCGTGCGTGCAGGCATGGGCTTGCCACAACAGGCTGGTGAAGCACTGGGGGCTGGGGAGGAGGCTATGCCTGGCAGGAGTTGGGCAGGAAGGCTGGGAGGACAGTGGCCTTCAGGGGCTTCCTAGCTCTAGTAGGGCTGTCCCCTCCCAGATGGCTCTGTAGACCCATGCGTGCCTGGGGTGGAACGAGTCCTGAAGCAGCAGGCAGGTCCCCACTTGGAATCCCATCTGAGCTTAGAATCTGCCAAAGGCTGGTGCTCCTTCTTTGGGTACAGGGCCTGAGGGCACCTTCACAGACAAGCAGCCATTTCCCCATCTGTAAATTTACCAAAGCTTAAGGTGTGGGAGGGCTCAGATGCTCAAACCCCTCTAAGGATGTCATCAGAGCTGCAAGCTGCCTGGTCCAGCTCCCCCACGTCTTCAGTCATTCCTCCATTCAGCTATTCTGATTCTCCAGCTGCTCCACCTCAGTTTTGCTTCCTCTCAACTCTTGCCTCCTCGCCTTCTGTGCCCTCGCACTCCACCTTCCCAGCTGGTCCTGCCTCTGCTCTTGGAGCCCTGGATGCCCTCCCCAGGAGCTACTCTTACCTTTAACAGTATTCCTGATTTCTGGCCTTCTGGACCCCAGAAATTTCTTATTTTCTAGATGATTTCTGATGTCCAGGTTCTCTCCTCCAGCTTCCTTTCTCAGCCTGCTACTTTCCTGTCCAGAAGCTCTGTGTTAGGAAGCTTCTAACTGGCTCCAGCGAGCCTGTCTCTGCATACTTTACCCTTGTGCAGTCCCCTCCCCTGGAGTGTGGGCTGGTCTGGTGACTTGCTGAACCATCTCCCCAGCCCTGTGAGTGACAGGTGTCACTCCTTAGCCGAGAGTGCTAGAGACTGACTTTCATCTTGCCTGCATTCTCTGTGGCTCTTCCCTTCGCTGCTCTGATGGAAGCTGGTGGCCAAGCTGGGAGCCCCCTCATAGAGAGGTTCGGAGGGAGGGCAGCCTCTAACAAATAGGCAGCAGGGCGGTGAAGCTCTTGGTCCACTGACCCAGGAGGAAAACCAAACCAGTGACCCTGTGAGCAAGCTTGGGGTGGGACCTTGAGATGCTTCAGCCTCAGCTGACACCTTGAGTGCAGCCTGAGGCCCTGCACGGACTGGTGTGGCCTTCTTACCCCACAGACCCTGAGAGCATAAATGTTGTCGTTCTAAGACACTCCATTTGGGGAATTTATGATGCAGCAATAGATGACTGATACACTCTTTTAACTGCATACTCACATAAGCTACTTCTGTTTCCAATAAAGTTTTTTTTTTTTTTTCAGGTAATCATGTCCAGCTACTCCTCTAATCAGATTATCCGAGTCCAATCATCCTTGCTGGCCAGATACACATGTTCCTCAGATACCCTGTCCTGGTTATTATAACTAGAGATTGTTCTCCCATCAGGTGGCTTTAGCACTTTACCAGCCTCTTCATCCCAGTCTCTCCTGCTTTCCAACTTCTCTCTCTTCCACCAGAGCTGAGAACCAGAGTTTGATGAGGTTACCAGGGCTCTCCTTACACATCCTATGTATCCATGCATCCATCCTTACTCCATCCATCCATCCATCCATCCATCCATCCATCCATCCATCCATCCATCCATCCTTCCTTCGTTCCACCCATTCATCTATCCCCTCATTCGTAACAATCATATTCTCTCCCTGGCACCCACATTATTGACATGCTAATTCAGTTCATTGCCTAACTATCTATCTCATCCTTTGCTATCATCCATCCATTTGTTCATCTAGCCAATCATCTGTCCATCCACCAATCCATACATCCATCCTCTTACCCCATCTCTCCATCTCTCCACCACCCATCCACCTCTCTACCGCATCCACCTCACTTTCCCATGCAACCAGTCAGTCATCAGTAAATCTCAAGCCTCAGCAAAAGTGACTTGATGGTGAGTTCAGGGAGCCTGTCCCCACCATGTGTCTCAGAATGGATAAACATTTCTCCTCTTTCTCTAGCTCCTTCCTGCATCCTCCCCCAGTACCCCATCCCTCCAATACCTAGGCCTGCCTGACATCAAAACAGATGTTCTTTCCAGTAATATTTCACCATAAATGGAGAGGAAATTCCAGTTGGGGACTGGAAGGATTGTCAAGGCAGATGCGAAAGGACAGATGCCAAGAGCTTGGGCCAGTTGAGGTGACAATAAGCCTTGAACTTGGCTGTCATTGCTGATTTCAAGTGGTTCTACTGTCCCAGCAATAGCTGTCAACAAACTCACCCTCCACCACCTTTAGCCAGATGCCTCTGAGATCTGCTTCCCTACAGTGGCCACTCACTGTGCTTATCCTCTATCTTGGGACCCCCGATCTTAACCACCTCCACCTGTTGCCACCTGTTATTAACCACCTCCACCTGTTATTCTTAAGTCCTGTCTTCTGTTCTTGAGAAATTCCACAATTCCAGAGCATAGCCCTCTGTGGGATACAGCCAGGGCCCCTCCTAGAACCCATTCTCCTGGGTCTGGCCCCCAGGGATCTGAGTTCCCATCACAGGCCTGAGCTATAGTTACCATCCCAGGAAATGGAGCCCCACATGCCTAAGACTCCTGCATCATCCTGCCTGTCCCAGCTCCGGTGGGAACCCTAATAAGCATTGCTTCAGGGCCAGTCACCCAAATCAATTAATGGAATCATTTGGAGCAGCCAATACAAGGCGATGTGCCAGGACAAAGAGGCTTTTTTTTATCAGTGAAATTGGCAAGAAAGTAAGTTTCAGGCTCATGACTTTCAATTCCAGCCTCCTCAAAGAAGTAAATTGATTTTCTCCAACTGAAGATACTTAATCTTGAGAATTTAACATTTCTGTACAAGAAAATGTATATAGGTGTATATATAAATATATATCAATTCCAAAGGGAGCTGAATCGCAGAGAACGTGTGTGGGGAGGCAGTGGCAATGTGATTCCATGCAAGACCTTGAGTATTTTCCATATGGGAAAGGAGAGCTTTTCCCAAATTAACTGGCTTTCTTATCCCTGGGTGTAGGATCTTTGGCCTTATCGACTCCACTCACTCTAACAGTTAATCATGTCTCTTGGGTTACTTCTGTGGGGACCAGGAGGACTCTGAGTCTACGGCGCCTGCTTGCTACTGCCGCCCACTGGCCCAGGACGGACTTTCTGACCTGCTGGGTATCTGCACAGGCTCCAGAGGCTGGTCCCTGCAGGGGGTACCTAGGAGGTGAGGGCTGCAGGCTGTCCCCTACAGGGGGAGTCAGGAGGGGAAAGCTGCAGGTCAGAGGTGGAGGTCCAGGGAGAAGGTAGCTCTATTGCATGGACTCTGGCATCACACCAACTTGGATGCAGAACCCAACTGCTTCTGTGATCACAGGCCAGTGATGTCACAGCTCTGAGTCTCACTTTCCGCATCTGTAAAATGGGGGTTAGCTTAGCACAGAGCATGGTCCCTAGCAAGTGCTTAGTTAAGTGGCTGGCGTCATTATATCTCTGGCTCCTTAAGTCTCTTAACGGCTGTTTTCTCATCTAGAAATTAGGGGTATTTTTGCTGTGCTGAATTGCTAAAGAAACAGAACGACACAAAATTCGGGGTAGACACGCCAATGCCGACGGGCCAGGCAGGGTACGGTACGTAGGTGAGGGATGCTGCGTGGAATTCCGATAAACTGGAGAAGCTGTTGTCTTCCCAAGGTCACTTCTGACAATTCTTCTCTGGGATTCCCCAGCTCAGAGAGGCCAGATCTTTCACATTTTCAAGAAGTTAGAAATATGAATTTTTTAAATGCAAAAGTCTCCCAATTTTAAAATGCTGGCAACTAATTAAATATACATAAGGAATGCGTGGCTCCCCTTCCAAATCACCTCTGTGGGCTGAACAGGCCTATGAATCACTGGTAAAAGCAGACACTGAGTCACGTGCAGGTGGACCAGATCAGTGTGGCTCTAAGCAGTGATATGAGTTATCCTACTGAATCATCACAGTGACTCCGGGAGGTAGGTCTGTTATATACCCATTACATGGATGAGCACAGTGAGGCCCAGAGGGGGCCTCAGTAACTTAGCAGTTATTAACAACTTTGCACCATCACTCCCTGCTTCTGTTAATCTGTAGCTGCTCCTGTCTCCCCACTCTGGGTCTCTTGTCTTCTGAGGACCCCTGGCTCCTCTTGAAGTGTTTCATTCTGTGCAGAGGCAGTTGACCACCCTGTGACACAGGCACCAATGTCCCCTCGCAATCCCCTTCCGAGGGACTTAGAAGAAGGGAGATTCTCCAGTGCCCACTGGCTGGTTCTTCTCCATTATGCTCCAGTCAAGTCCTTTGCTGGGGGTTGGGGGGAGCTATGGGCCAAAGGAGAGCAGACCAGGCCTGCTGCCCTGTCCCCTGGGCCAGCCGCTGGAGGCACATCCAGGGGAGAAAGCCTTTGATTTACGTGTTTTGTGTGCCTGGCACGGGGCTGACCGTGGTACATCCAGGAGCTCAATCAAATCCTCTTGCTAATTGCCACGAGTTGGGAAAGAGCGTCCATGTCACAAGGTGAGCCAATGGAGGCCTGGAGAAGTGAAGTGACTTCCAAGGTCACCGAGCAGAGTCGGCACCCATGACTCAAGTCCTGTCCTGACTTTAAGATCCACAATTAGGGGCTGCGCCAGGCTGCACCCTGAATTCCACCTGCTCCCTGCATTTTCCTCCTTCCTGCCCTGCTTCCACTTGGAGGCATGGCTGAGGCTGCTCTGATGAGAGCCCAGAAGCTGGGCCAGGAGCAACAGCGCTGAGATCAGGGAGCCTGCCTGCTGAGCGAAGAGTCTGCCATAGCAGGGGGCTTCCCCAAGTGCCCTCCATGCTCAGTTACTGGGATGGGGTGAACCGGAGCAAGAGGGAGGGCTTGACAGTGCCTAGGGTTGTGGGATCCTGGCCTTCACGGCCCCAGCTCCCATCCTTTTCCAAAGCGCTGTCGCACACAGTCCCACCCACATGGGGCGTGCCTCCCCCACCACCTCACCAGGGAGGACTCACTCCCAGGGGAGCTGTCTTCTGCCGTCATCCCCCTTCAAAGCTGCCGGCCCTCCCCAGCGAGAATGTACTTCCCCAACATTCTCCTTTACATTTTGCCTACATATTTTTACAGCCAAACAGTGCTTTCAAAGGCCTCCTTTTTCATCTCCTAATTAATTTTTATCTTCCAAGACGGAGGGAGGACAACACAGGAGACGCTGTTTGTGATATCTGCTGCTCCCCAACAACTGTTCGAATAAAATTTCCCTTGGAAAGATGGGTCTGCCTCTAGCCACGCAGTCTCCATGGCTGCAGGGGGTGGGGGTGCTGGGGTAAGGATCTGGAGCCCCACCCCGGAAGTTGCTTCCTGCTGTTGCCATATTTGGATAGAAAGGATTTTCTCTCTCATTCTGCTCTCAGCCATAGGGGCATTTTACGATGGTTTGGGGCATTTTACGATGGTATGGGGCTTTTTACAGCAGTTTGCAGCCTCACCAGTAACACAGGCTGGCCAAGTCAGGTTCATCTGCTGGACACTCCAGGACACGCCACTACTACTCAGCTGCTGTCCTCAACACGGTCTCTTGCATTTGCTCCACTTGGCTCCTTTTATCCCATCCTTTAATTCAACAATGGCATCCACTCAACATGAAATATCTGAGCAGCCATGGTGTGCCAGGACTGTTGGAGGCTGGGGGTACAGCTCGACAGACTGGTTCCCCTCTTCCCAAGTGACTTTGGGACTGTGGCTGAATATTTAGAGAGGCAATGTGGACTCAGCGACTGAGAGCACTGGCGACTGAGAGCACTGCACTGAGACAGACAGCCTAGGTTCAAATCCCAGCTCTGCATTTTACTAGGCGTGTGACATCAGGCCAGCTCGGGTTACTTTCTGAGCCTGACTTTCATTATGTATAAAATAGATGATGACAAGCAAGCCTCTGCCTTCCAGGGTTGTTCCAGGGTGAGACGAGTAAATATAGCTATAGCGCTTGGACTCTGCCTGGCACATAGTAAGTGCTCAGTAAAGGCAATTACTGTTGACTGCCAGTGGCTCCCAGGCATCTGTTCAACCCCAGTGCCAGCACATGCACAGACAAAGGACCACAGGAGAAGACGCTGCGGTGGCTGTGGGAGGGCGCTGCATGTGCGGACAGCATATTTAATCTTACATCCTGGCTCTCCACCACTGACGTGCTGTGCGATCACGGGCACATCATCCACATGCCCCACCCGCTCCATCCCTCACCATGGGCCTCTATTTCTCTAGGCTAAACGCAGGCTCCCTTCCAGCTCTAGCTTGCAGTCACATTAAGGAGGTTGCACTGGCCTGGGGTGAGTGGAGGGTGGGGAGGTATGACTAGGAAGCCCAGCTCTGGAGGGCAGGGGCAGGAAACAGAGGCAGGGGAGGAAGCAAGCTTGCCCGGGACCTCCTAGTGCTCTGCTCCCAGCCTGGGTTGCCACACGCAGACTCCTCTCCGCCTACCCGACAGCCTCGCAGCTGCTGCCAGCCAAAGGGAGCCTGGGAAGAAGAGCTTCCTTAGAATTAAAGCAGGAGATGATGTGACCAGACAGAAAGAAGAATTAACTGATTGGGAGAGCAAGTGGAGCTGGTTCTGTAGGGGGGCTGGGCGCTGCTGTTTCTGGCTGAAGTCCCTTGTGTGTGGGGCCCATGAGCACCAGCGTCCCAGCTGGGTGACAGCGTCTGTTCCTGCGCTGCCCTCCTCACTGCACTGTTTGCAGGAAGGTGATGAGGGCGGGGCAGACTGCGGGTCCTACTTGATGCTGGGGACAGCAGCTCGGTGGGGAACTGGGCTGAGGCTCTTGGAAACCAATCTGAGCATCTGAGCATGGAGGGAGGCAAGGGCATCCAATCGGCGGCGATGAGCCGGTGCTGGGCCTATTTATGCTGCTTCTCTTTGATCGGGAGCCCTGCTCAGAGGCGGGCTCATGGGTAATGCATGAGAGATGCTCTGGCACAGTCAAAGGGCCGGGCCGCAGCCTGGGGGTGGGCACAACCAGGCACACGCGCACGCACCCACCCAAGCCGGGCCGTCACACACACATGCATGCAGAGGCTGTAGCATACATCGCCCTCCTCCCACCTAGGCACATTTGTGGGGACATTCAGGCAGATGGACGTGCTTACACTCTGCGCATAAGACATCTGGCATACACTCGTGTATACTCACAGGCACACAGCCACATATCCAGAGACGCTCGCCAGAGCACACCCACCCAGATGCACACACTGTCCGTGCACAAAGGCACATCTGCACCCACACAGGCAGACCCTGTGCAAGGCCTCACGTGGGTGCAGACCTCCACAAAAACACACTTACATGTATGATATATACTGCTATGCGCACAAACATGTACTCACATGCTCATCTGTTCACACTCATGGACACACGCACAGGGTTCCAGAGGGCTTCTCATGCACCCACGGCAGTGCTTCCACGTTCCCCTCACTCCAAATGCATGGTCATAACCTTGCAGGCGGGAAGGCTGCGTTTACCATTTCTCATGGGCGGCAGCACCATCCAGTGGGGTACCCTTAGCAACCCTTTTCTCTTCACTAAGCATCTACCCTCAAGGAGGGGCAGTGAGTGGAGTTAAGGCAGAGTGCAGGTACCCAGGAGGTGGAAGGCTTTTCCATCCAACCCTTCCTATTGCCCTGGCTCAAGCCTCATTGGAGGTTCCATCCATCACTCAAAGATAGCCTGGAAAGAGGTGAGGGCTGGGGCAGGGAAATCCCCAAGGTTCCCAGACTGATTAAGAGCAATTGGCTAATGAACAAATACATGAATGAATGGACGTGGAGCCAGAGCTCCCAAGTCCTGCCTGTGTCTGAGAAGTGATCGGAGCGGGGCTTCTCTAAATGCGGTTCCCGGGCCAGCGGCACCCGCTGCACCTGCACATTCTCATTCTCACCCAGACCTGAACCGAAGCTCTGAGGGTGCAGGGCCAGCAATCTGGGTTCCCCAGGCTCTCCAGGTGATCTGAATAGACCCTCAAGCCAGAACCATGATGAGAACGTGGGCTTGGGAGGAAGACGGCTCCGGGTCAGCACCTGGCTCCTTTAGCTGCGTACTCTTGGATGAGCTGCTTAGATGCTCTGCACCTCAGTTTCCCCACATGCAAAGTGGAAATAATTACAGTGCCTGTGTCACAGGATTGGTCTTGAAGATTAAGCGAGGCCAGGCATTCAGCACAGCGCCTGGCCCGCCCGGAGCTCTCAGCAGCTGCAGCGATTATTATCATCACTTTTCTTTCTGAAGAACATTTACAGCTACCGGCTCTCAGGAGTGGGCAGCTCCTAAACCCTCAGCTACTCTGGCAGAAGGTGAACAAACACAGAGGAGGCTGAGCCAACACTCTACAAAGCAGGAGGAGCAGCTACAGCCAGATCCCTGTTAGAGTAGAAGCCTGAGCGGGTGAGGGGCTTTATGTGGACACCAGCCTTCCAAGGGCGTGGCACGCTACGGGAGTCTGTAAGCTCTTGCTCAAGAGCTCACTTCCTCTTTTGAGGATGAGCCTCTGCTGTCCTCAGTGGTGGAGAACTCGTCCCCATGCCAGCCCAATCTCTTAGAGATGGACCCAAACCATGGGCAGGAAGTCCACTGTCCCCAGAGCCAGGCGTCAGGGCTCACGCATTGCTCATGCTTGTGTCTGGGCTGCCCTTCTTTCCCTTCTCCTGCCGCAGCTCTCCACCTGAACTCCTCTGCTGATTTAAGGAAACAGCACATCCACGCTGCTTGCCCCAAGTACAGAATCTTCTAGGATCTGTGCTGGGATCAACCCAAGTGGCCATTTTGCCTCAGTTCCCCTGAGTCAATTGGCCCCAAAAAGAGAGGGGCTGAGTCCTGGGAATGTCTGCCCCGCTGGCTCTGTGGTTAGGGAAGCGCAGTGAAGGGTGAGGGAAGGTCAGCTCCTGGTGCTACAAAGGGAGAGGGCCTCACCTTGAAGAAGGTCATGGTGGCCCCATCCTTGACAGCCCCATACTCAATTTTGGTTTGCTTGGCCAAGTCATCCGCAGAGTCGATGGGGGATTCCATTCGCTCCACGGTCAGAAAGGCAGCCAGGTTGGCCGTGTAGGAAGAGATGATGATGAGCGTGAAGAACCACCAGATGCCACCAATGATGCGCGTGGAGAGGGCCTTGGGCATCAGTTCAGACCCTGGCAGAAGAGAGGAGACAGGTGGTTCCAGACAGTTACAGACTGGGGCTGCCCTGCTCACTCCCTGGGGGCATGGACTCCACTAACAGTCTAGTTAACAGCCTAGATCCTTCCCCAGACCAGTGGTTCTCGGTGTCTCCCTGACCAGCCGCATCAGCATCACTGGGAGTTTGTTAGAAATGCACATTCTTGGGCCCCAGCCCAGGACCTACTGAATCAGCAACTTCAGGGGTGGGCCCAGAGGGTTTGAGAAGCCCTCTAGGTGATCTGATGCAAGCTAACATGTAAAACTTTCTGCCAAGATACAATCGCACATGCATGTTTCACAGGCTTGTCAGACACTCCGCTGCCCATCTGTGGACCACTCAGGTGGGTCAGAACCCCTTGGGGGTCAGAAATCCTGGGTTCTGGAATGAATCCTGATCCTAACTCCCTTTGTGATCCCGTGCCAGACACTTCTCCTCTCTGGGTTCTGCAAAGATTGGAGAATTGTCCTTCCTCTGTCCCCGCCTCACATAAATACTGCGATGCTGCAATGATATAATTTGAGGAGAAATTGTGTTGGAAATACAAGAGGTATACAAATAGAAGATTGCTATGCAGTGCTTTGCAGGAGGAGAAAAATCAACATTTTTTGAAGCTCTTTGCCAAAATAGATCTCTCTTCCTCCCCGACCTTGGGTGTGGAGCACAATTTAGACGAAACCTTCTAACTGAAGTAATTAACTAGGCAGCTTTCAAGAGATTTAAATAGCAAGTGACTCCTGAACTTTCCAGAATATTTGGACCTGCAATCTGAAAAGCATTTGCTTTGATATGAATGATTTTTTTTTTTCTCAAAGAAATCACTCAAGGGAGAGTTTTTCAAATACATAACTATTTTTCTCCCTCCTAATCAAAACCTCGCAGGGACTACATCGGGGGCCAGGGCTTTTGAATAGCAGCAGGAGGTGGAAGAGGAGAAGCTATTACTGCATCGAGGGGCTTCCAGGTCTTCCCCAACTGTCACCGAACAAAGATGATGGACAAAGCAGCAAGGTGAGGCTTCCGGATACTCATTAATACTGGAAACAGAATGAGGTGTTTCCCTTGAGAGCTGCTTGCCACTTCCCAGCTGCTGGAGACCATCGGGGCTTCTCAGTTTTCCCTCGCAACCAGCCCCCGAGTCTCACCTGGAGCCCTCCCCCAGATTGCTTCAACCTAGGGCTAGCGCTGGCCCCCCTAAGGGAGACTGACTTAAGTTAGTTTGCTTGGTGAGCTCTGCCAGACTGTTGGACCCCAACTCAGATCTGAGCCCCTGCCCTGGCCTTTGTCATGGCTGGAGGTCTCTATTGGGGTGGGGGTACTTATATCTCTTTTTCTTCTCCTTCAATTGAGTGGCCAGCACAGGGCCTGGCCTGTAGTGGGTACTCGGGACACAGTGGAGTGTCATTCATTTATTCTTCCATTTGGCATTTGCTGGTCGATGTCCGCTGAGGACATACACAGGTGGACATGGAAATAGTTCTCTGTCCCTCGGGTTCCCTTCCCTGTCCTGGTCCCTAGTCACTCACTGGCCATCAGTGGGCTCTATTATAGCAGAGACGTTGGTTGCTTTATTCCCCAAGACAAGGGGTTCTGGGTTTGTGACTCAAAAGGCAGAAGCAATGACCCAGGCCGGCAGGGCTGGGGAGGGTTCTCCCTGGGGATTTTCCTGGATGGGGCTTCTCTGTGCCCAGCCTCTAGCCCATGGTATCTCTGCACCACACCCCTGGCATCCAGAGTGGGTACTCTACTTTCTGAGATAGCTGAGTGGCTGCAGCACCTTCCCAAGGGTGGGCCTCCAGCCAGGTGCAGCACCTGGCTCTCCCTCAGCAGGATGTAAGGGTGTAAGATCCCCATCTCTGATGTACTCAGGCTGAAGTCCCTACCGCAGACATGACCCTCCCTACTCCCAGGCTCTCCACAGCCAGGTCCTGTCCCCACTACATCCAGAAGTTCTCTTAGTCCATCTCTGCCCTCCACCCCCATCACCAGTATCTGGGTTCAGGACTGCCCATCTCATTCCTGCAATGGCCTCCCACCCAGCCCCCCAAGCCCCCGTCTCTCCCCTTTCCTATTGACAGTCCAACTTTGCTCAGCCAGATTTATTGTGGTGAGGCCTACATGGGGTTGGCCCCAGCAAGCAGGCTGCTCTCCGCCCATTACAGCTGGAGCAGGAGGGACTGGGGTGATCCCTGCATGCATGGATGGGGTGGCTCATCTGCTCTCTCCTCAGCCCCGGAGCCAGCCCAGCCACGCAGTGGTGGTGGCCAGGGAGCTTTCTAGGTGCATCTGGCTTTCTGATGGCTCAGCAGGCTGAAGCCGCCCTTGGGGATGGATGGGCTCTGCTGACTCCACAGAGGCCAAGGGCACCCTTGGAGGAGAAGCACCTCTGAGAGGAGGATTGTCCCTGGGAGGAGCACTCCTGGGAAGAGGAGCACCCTGGGGAGAAGGGCCCAGGAGAGGGCACTTACCTTGCTGCATCAGGGACCCCATTCCAAACCAGAAGCTGTTCAGCAGAGTGAAGTTGTTTTCCACCACCTCGGAGCCAGGGTTGCAGGGGTGGGCATCGTACCACTCATAAGGGCTGAACCTATGGCAGGAAGGGGAGCAATGAGTCTGAGCTGTGGGGGCCTAGGGGAAGGTGGCCAGGCCCCAGGAGTAGCGGTTTAGCAACACTGACGGGTCGACCACTTTCGGCATCAGTGTCCTCACTGCTCTGCTGGGCAGGCAGGGGAGGGGAAACCAGGGCCATTTTGCTTCTTCTTCTTTATTGCCAGTGCCCTTTTCTGGTGATAAAAGTAATTTAGCAGAATGTCTCAAAAGTAAGTGCACATGCCCTTCAACCTAGCGCGTCTGCAGCTCATCATCCACCCCAGGAAAAACACTTGTGCATGATGGTGTTTATCAAAGCATTGTTTGTAACATGGGAAGCAACCTCGACGTCCTTCAATAGAAGAATGATTAAATAAACAATGCCACAACCATACTTTGAATATCCTGCATCTCTTAAACAAGGACGAGATACTTCTAGATGTACCGGCAGGGGAAGATCTTCCGCACATATTGTTTGGTTTATAAAAAGAGTGATAAAAATAAGAACAAGATGATCACATCTATATAAATAGATTCCTGAAGACCCAGCTATACACCTGTGTCTGTGGGTTTGTATAGAAAGGCAGACCCAAGAGTCTGGAAGGATCCATACCTAAAAAAATGTTAGTGTTTGCTCTGAGGAGGGGCATTAGAACAGCAGAAGGCATTTCAGGGAGGCCTAGTCTCTATATGTACTATATGAGCATCTAAAAATGAAAATGAGCTTTTGAATTACTTATATACTTTAAAAAAAAAAAAACCTTAAAGCGGAAAAACACATTGTGAGATATTCCAGTTGTATGGAAGAACCCAAGAAGAAAGTGAAAGTACTTCAGGGTCCCGTTCCCTGAGGAGAACAATGTGCTAGATAATTTTTTGGACTTTTCCCGTTGAATATACAAATTATTTAAAGTGCCCCCCTCCACCTTCTAAGAAAGAGAAGTCCTGATCGGGGGAGGGATCTGGTCTGCTGTGGGCACGAGGTCAGGTGGAGAAATCAACCTGAGAGCAGGAGGAGGGGATGGAGCTAAGGGGCTGAGAGGCTGCCGTGGTGGTGGGTGGGGCCGATGCTGAGCAGAGACCTGGCAGGGAGAAGCGTCCCTGGAACTGTGCGACAACGTGCTGGAAGTGTGACGCTGTGCCTCGTCCTTCTTGTCTCCCTACAAAAAGCTTTACTAAATCATACACTCATCACCAAAGCTCCCGTGAGAAGAACTTTGTTTTCATGCAGCTGGAAATCTTACTGTTAGGGAATTCCAAAGTGAGGCTTCAAACCAAGATGGGGATTTTCAAAGGAAACGATCACAAACTGGCTGGAGGCGCTGAAATCCACAAGGCAGAGAGGCAGGACAGAGAAGAGGGGAGAGGTTGTTTGGAGAAGGGCTTTTTGGAGAAAGATTCTGGAGAGATGTGCATTGGGTGGTCCCGCTCCCCTGGGAAGTCAGGGAGAGGGGCTTCCAGAGGGCTGCTGGGGGGCTGGGCAGGTGACCCTACAAGAGCAGATGTGGTGGGCAAAGCCTGGGGAGGCCAGGGAACGGGCAGACTGGTGTTTCTAGAAGGAGGCAGGGGAGTGTCACAGCGGGACCAGACAGCGGCCCTGGGCACACTGGGCAGCGATGCTCCCCTTGGGCCAGGTGGGCCCCTGCAGAAGAGAGACATGTCTGGAGACCAATTTACCTCAGTCCCTATCACTCCCTGCTGCCTATGTCTTATGCTTCCTGTTCTGCCCATGTGCACCTGTGCTTGTCACCTCTGATTTAAAGTGACAAATGTGGGTTTAAAGCCCAACTCCATCAAGAAAAAGCTTTTTGACTTTGGGCTATGACTTAACCTCTGAGCCTCAGTTTCTGCTTCTGTTAAGTGGGGATACTTATAATCTCTCACTGGACAGCCCTGAGGATCTGGCAGGACAGGTATGAATCATGTTGCGTGAGTGCCACCAACATCACAAGCGCATGATGCTGCTGTTCATGGCTCTGTGGCCAAGACCCTTGGCTCTCTCCTCTCTCCTCAGGTGTCCAGTGTCACTGCAACAATGCCAGAAATTCTACCTCTTCCAGAAAGTCTCCCCGGATTGATCTGGGGACGGGGGCTCCTACATCCCGGCCAGGAGGCTGGGGTGGAAAGCAGGCTGGCTGCCAGGAGCCGATGAGAGGCCAGGAGCTAGCTGGGTGGAGGGGGATGGGACACGTATCAAGTGGGCAGAACTGATGCTGGAAAAGACTGAGCTTTTTTTTTTTTTTTTTTTTTTTTGAGGCGGTGGGGCGCTGAGAGGCCAGCTGGAGCTGCTAAAATTATGGCGAGAGCTCCAGAGAGTGGCTCCTGGCTTTTTCAAAGACTTGTTAGGTCATTAGACACAAGAGGCGTAATGAAGGCTTCTCTGTGGCAGCCTGGGCTCCGGCTAGGCTGAGCAAGCAGGCAGCACCAGGCCAGCCGGCAGCAAAGGGCTTCCAAGGCAGGACAATTTCATCTCTCACATCCTTCCCTTTGGTCTCTCTCTGTGTGGGAGGAGGGAGCAAACGGGAGGAGGGGGAGAGGGAAGACTTTCAAAGAAGACTCAAGAGAAAAAAAGGCTGAAATACCAAGTCCTTGGATCTCAAATTGCCTCTCCAGAGAAGTCTCTCTTTGCAACCTGTTAGGATTTAGAGAATAAAGAACCAGGGCAGGCGCAGGGGCTGGAGCCTAGAGGGAGGGGGCAGAGGGCCCAGCTGGGGAGGGGGTGGGGAGCTGGGCAGAGCAGCCACCAACTTGAGGCTGGGGCAGAACACATGCCCGGTGGCCAGAGATGTTGGCTGCAGGTAAAATACTTGGTGACCTGAGTTCATTGCTGGAATGGCCGTGGCCAGAACTGAGCCTCTCTGAGCCCCAGATATCTCCCTTCCATGGGCGTCTGTAAGAATTTGGTAAGATAATGACTGTGATGCAGAGCACGGTGCTGGGCAAACACCAGGTGCTCAGTAAACACTGGGTTTTGCCGGACCCCAGGCACCTGCTGCCGCCTTCCACCAGCAAGGACGTGCTATGTCCATGTCATGGGAGCAAGCGAATGTGCAAGGGTGTTGCTAGCATGTGTCCCAGACAGGCGTGTGCCCCGCTTCTGCTTGTGTGCATGTGGTGAGTGACCCCCTGCTGGTGAGGGTTAGATGGACACAGTCTGTTTTCCAAGTTGCCAGCTACCCGCTGGGCACCTGCTGCACCTGGAACTTCTGACTGCCTGGCCTTAGTGCTGCCGCTGGGGTATTCTTCACATCTCCTAGGCCTGCTTCTAGGACCTGGGATGCAGCTGCTGCCTCTCAGGGTCACACACACAGGTGGGACCGGTAAAGACTGGGGGATTCAAGCCTGAGGGCCATAGAACATTTCCTAAAGCATAAGAAGGGATCTGAGCCTCAGGGAGGGAGAAGCGGGCATAGCAGTAGCCTGAGCCTTTACCTTCCATGCCAACGGCTGAGACTGTGGGGATTTCCTGGCTCCTAAGCCTGCCGCCTTGAACCAGAGCACTGACGAAGGCGCCACCCTTACCTGGCGATGACAAAGAGGACACAGCTGACTCCAAGGTAGGCGAGGAGCACATACATCCAGATGTCCGGGGACAGGGGGTTGAGGAAGGAGAAGACGCTGGGGTTGGTGCCATTGGGCTTGCGATACAGGATGCTCACGCCGAGGGTCATGAAGGGCTTGGAGAAGTCAATGGCCTTCTCACGGACGTGGGTGATGGTCAGGGGAGCCACGGCCAGATCTGCCTTCTGCAGCGAGAGACGTAGAGAAACAGACAACAAAGCCCAAGAGTTGCAGGAGACAGAACATCCCTTCTTGAAAGTGGGGAGAGGAGGGAGTGAAATTTAGTCTGTTGCCTGGGCCCCAAGTCACTAAACCACTCTTCAGCTTCAACATTTACCAAATCTTCTTCTGGGCCAGGCCTTGCTCAGGGTGCTGGGGAAGTGCCCGAACTTAACTCCTACGCCCTAAGGGCTCATGGTCTGAAGGAAGAGGTACTGACACACAGAGAATGGAGCTCTGGGAAAGCTGTGACCATGTGGTCCATCCTCTGCTTTGTGAGACGCGTACAACTCAGCAACCTCCAAACATTTACTTATTTGTGATTTTCAAACATCACAAGGACAAAGAATCCACAGCAACTCTTATTTAAATGTTTTTTTCTTCTATGTACTTCTTGACTAATTCATCCCGTTCTGGGTACTCTACATATCCTCAAATCCCCCAAAACCAGTTGGACAAAAACAATGCCCTCCGGGCCTCCCTGGTGGCGCAAGGCGTTAAGCACTGCACTATGAAGCAATCCGCAGCCTCTGCAGCACGAATTCGATCCCCGGCCGGCCAGGGAGCAACCCACACAGCACAGCAGACCTCTCCTGTCTCGCCCGCTGCTCCCCTCAGCAGTGTATTTCAGTCAGTCAGTCTGTTCTGCTCCCCGGACTGTCTCTGGTGAATCCTCTCATGCCCGACACAACTCTAGCCTGTACCCCAGCTCTTGCATGCATAAAAAAATAAATCTTAAAAAAAAAATGCCCTCCCTGGAGGCGGGGGGGTGCAGAGAAGAAACTAAACAGGCGAACAAACCCAGAGCCATCTTCAGTAGGTGAGGGGAGGGAAAGAACAAAGCCCAGGAGGAGGAGAGCGCTGTGTGTAAAGCTAGGAGTGTTCATATGTCGAAAATTTTTAGCCCATCGCAGTTTTAATGAGGGGAATAATTAAAGTTCCATCTCTCTGGGCTGAGCTTTTCCTGATTAAAAATCTACAATCCCTCATTCCTCTCTCTGGCCTCAGCCCACTGCTCTCCCCTACGTGAGGCTGCATTTGGCGGCTTCCTGTTCATCACATTCCCTTCTTCACCTCCACACTTCGCATACCTTTTGGTCTGCTTGGAATGTTCTCTCCCTATTGTCTAACCCTTACGCCTTCCATAGATGCTATCTCTTCCAGCAAGTCCTCTGTGATCCTCTCTAATTGTAAACTCTTTTTGTAACAGGGTGGTCCCAGGAAAAGAAGAGGTTCTGGGTTCCCTGCCCCATCCAAGGGAGGGTGGAGTTAAGCAGGGAGAAGAAGCTGGAGGGGAGACTAGAAAAGGAAGGAGGAAAGATGGAGAGCCAGAAGGAGACCTGGAGGAGGCACGTGGAGCAGAGAGACATGTGAAGAGCGCGCGCTTGCTTCTTGGCCCTGGACTGGTTAAAACAGACGTGGGTGAGCGACCTGCGGGCGGTTACAATGGCAGGGTTTATCTTGATTTTGCTCCTTTTGTCCCGGATGTGCGGGGGCCCCTTCTGCCCCTCCCCTGTGGGTCCCCACCAGAAGGTGCCTTAGAGGCTAGGCTTTCAGGCCTCAGTGGCCCTGCTTTACGCCAACCCTGTTTGGCTGGACATTTACCCATTGGGGGGATGGGTAACTTTGGGTGCTTGATTTGGAAACTTATTCTTCCCCTTTTCTGCACTGCTCACCAACTCTATTAAAGTTCTTTTCCACTGAAGGTCTTACGCACTAGAGTGTTTTGTCCTGATGTGGTGGATGACAGAACCTATTTAGAGCGGGCAAGTTTGGGGGTTCTGGGGTGCTCCTCTCCATGCCCTTTAACATCTTGAAGCTCTCTCTGCCCTATAGTAAGGTCCTAACCTGCTCAGTTCAAATGGCAGTATGTGTGGTCATGGGACTGCTTGTCTTATCTGCCTATTTTTTGGTGTGGTTGGGACTGTGTAATTTACTTCTTTGTTTCCACATTCCTAAGCCCATCTCAGCTTCTATAATATTTGCTGGTTAATAATGTTTCCCTCTGAGAGGCTGTGCCCGGGGTTCCTGTAGATATCTACACATCAGAACCCAGTTATCACTTCCCTTCTTGCCTTCTTCAAGAGGGGGCAGGGCAGAAAGGGAGGCTGGGTCCTAAAGACCAGCACGAAAGACCCCTTTGTTTAGGAGGAGGGCTGCCGCTGAGTCCCTCTCAACGCAACATTCTCTAGGCAGTCATTCACTGACTCGGTCCAGTTTCATCCAACCATCCATCCCCCAGAGTCATCCATGCAGTATTTTGAGGTGCACAAAGGATACACAGCTGAGCCAAGGAGGCTTGATTTCTGCCATTATGGACTGTATAGTCTAATGGGGGAGATGGACATTAATCAAATTGCCTGCAAAATGGAAGCTGTTAATACTATCTTTAACTCTACAAACCTCATGAGAAGAACCAGAAATCAAGTTGCAATCAGACTTCAAGGAGGGGAGGATGGGATGAGTAGAACCCCAGCTCCCAAAAGGCTCTGTGGTGGCCCTGGCTAGATGGAGCATTCAGGCAAACATTTGGCAGTGGTGCTGCTCATCCTGCTGCTTCCCCTTCTAGTGGCAGCCCCCACACCTGGCCCCTGACACTTGGGGTCCAAGGATTCAATGAACTTCAGGATCCAGGGAAGACAGGGAGGAGGAGCCTATGGCAAAGGATGGTTTTATACTGGGGCCTTCCTTTTGTAAATTTCTGAATGTGTGAGTTGGAACTTGCTCTGATTTGAAGGGAAATACACAGCTGCTATGACCCCAGAGACAATTCAGTTTAGGGTGTGTACAAAGGGAAATAACAAAAGGAGAGAGAATTACAAGGAAAGGCTCAGAGAGACTAACATGTGTTTGCTTAAGACCCACTGTACCAGCCTGGGATAATGGGGTAAGAGACTCAACTCATGTTGCTCCCAGTTACATAAACCCCTATGGGGGTGCTGTACATAGACTCTGACTGGGATGGGAGACAGGGTGGGAATCCCTGGAAGGTCCCATTCAATTCTGAAGTTCTAGGACCCTATATAATCCTCTATATGACAGTGGGCTTTTGATTCTAGAGCATGGCTTTTCTAAGCTCTGTCCCTCTGAAGAGACCCTATTCTAACTCCCCAGTCATCATCACTGTTCAGAAAGCCTTTGGAATGGTCTCTGGGAACTCCAGTGGATTCATAGGAAGAATCTCACAGTCAATGGTGGCAAACCTTCCTTTGACTTTTGATGACAAGTTGGATGAAAATGTTGATGACAAACACACAAGGTGTTGGTAGCCAGTGCTTGCTCCATCATAAGTGTTCCAGGACCGGTGAGGAGGCTGGCACAGGATACAGCTCTCGTTCCAAGCCCAGATTCTCAGAGCCTTCAGAGCTTCCCCCACTCTCCGTACTCTCTGTTATAACAGGGTTGAGAGGCGGGCATCTGCATCCTATGCCTACAACAGCAAGACTGCTGGCCAACCTGACCTTCTTTATGAAGAATTTTGTTGTGTGTTCTCCTTTAGGCTGTAGGAAGGCTGAAAATTCTCCACTTCAATTTTGGTTTAGGCAGGGATACTACTTTTCACACTTGGCTACAATTACCCTGAAAAAGGCATGGTTTTCTCCAACTTCCCTTGAAAGGGTGGAACAGATGTCAAGCCTTTGCTGTTTCAGTTCATTACTCAGAATGAAAGGTCCAATCTTGGCAGGTTCTTCCTACTTGTGCAAGCTTTCTTTGAGGATGATTCATAAAATCATAGGCTGTCAGAACTGGACAGGAGAACTTTGAGATTATCTATTCCAACCTTGTATTTTTTTATGGAGGGAAACTGAGGCTCAGAGAAGGTCCAAGGTCTTTACTCTCAGATTTATAGGAGTCATGTCCTTGAATAAACCAAACCTCTGACTTGTCCAACAGATTCATTCATCTATGAATGAGTTTTCAGAAGAAATCTCCCTGGTGATGACTCTCGTAGCACCAGGTATTTCTGCTTCTGACACTGGTCAGTTGGATTTTAGAGGTGCTGGATGATTCCCCTGGCTTCTGCCCCCACTGGCCCATAAACCCATGAGAGCAGAGCCTGAGCCAGTCTCTTTTCATGATTTTGTGGCCCACCCCAGCACAGTGAGTGGTCTTAGCAGGGTTTCAGTAGAGCCATGGAGACTCAGAGAAGGGGACATTGCTGTTTTAGGGGAGATGGCCAGGGAGCAAGTCTCAGAGCCTGCTGGCTGAGCTCAAGAGGGCAAAGCAAGTCACAGATGGTGTCAGTAGGTGATTACCCAAGTTTAACAAAACACAGTGTTCCTTGTAAGGCCCCAGGTACCATCCTTGACAATGCACACCTCTCGGGACTGAAGTGCTAGCGATTCCCGAGGGTCAGTGTGCAGCACCTGTGGTGCGCACACCACTTCCTGAGCTGAAGGCTGCTTCACTGCAGACACCGCTCCTCTCCCTGGGCCACGCCCTTCTTTGGAGTCCCTACTCTGCTAACCAGTTACCTCCACTCATACCTTCAGAGATGCCTAGAACCCATGGGAGTAATTTAAGGCATGGATGTGAGAAGACTTTGGAGAGAGGGGGAAATGAGAGAAAGCAGGCAGTAAAAGTGAAGGCAGTGACTATTAGGAATGGGGTGATGGATGGAGAAATCACTGTCCTGTCTAATCACGCTAGTTGCTCCCACGGTTAGGGGTGACTTGGGGGAGGTGGGAGTATCAGCAGGCGGAGCAAGCACCTCCAGCTGTCCCATCTTCCTCCATAACCCCGGCTCCCTGAAGGCTATGTAGCATGGGACAGAGGTGAGCAGTGTCCAGAGGACTTTTAAGTGCTGCTGGCCAGAGGCCCCACCCAGGGCCTCCAAATGGACCTCCGGGGGCAGATATTTGCAAAGGCAGGCATTCATCACTTTTACATCTACGTTCAGGCCCTTAATAAGGAAGTAATAATATTGCCAAGCCTTTACCAAGCTTTCTATGAGCTAGTGAGAAGACTAATTATCCGACGACACTAATAAATGGTTATGATGTTATTAAAAATGGCACCAAGCTAGGATTAATAGGTTCATCAATTGCAGGGAATTGGGTTTAACAAGGTCCCCTGCATGGCCCGTTAAGGCCATAGCATTGATGGATCCTGGGATGCATGGAGGCCATGCATGAGGCTCCTCTTCTCTTTAGCTGAGGGTCAGCTTAGGTGGGTCTGGCTGCTGCTGGGCTGTTCTGAAAACACCTGCTTGCAAAGGGCTCTTCAAAGCTCTCAAGTCGCTGGAGCCCCTGGGCGTGGTGAGATTGGCATCGGCCCTGCTCACTCCTGCATGTGGACCTGCTCTCCATGGGATCCTCTCCTCCTCCCCAGCCCAGCTCCCGGCCTCAGAACTCATGGGGAGCCCACATTCCAGAGCCCCACTCATAAAGCAGGGGGAACAGATAAGAGGGAGATGTCTCTGGGGCCTGCTAGCTAATTTCCATAATAATTACAGTTATTACTAATACAGGTGACAACACCACTCCCTTCCATTTACACTGACTTCTACAATCTAAGGGCTGCTTTCCGCCAGTTGTCTCCTCTGAGTCTCACTACAAGCCGGGAAGGAGGCGGGGCAGGCGCTATTATTTTTCCTGTCGAGTTAGGAAATTGGAGCTCAGGGAGTTAATGGAACTTCCTGAAGCCCCTTCCCAGCCTTGAAGGAGTAACCACTAATGAAAAAATAAAAATATTATCAGCGAATACTGATACAGTGAACAATATGTATTTCACGCACTTGTGTAAACTTAGTCCTCACAATAGTCTTATGGGGTAGGTTCTATTATTATCATTCCCATTTTACAGATAAGAAAATAGGGCATAGATTGGATAAGAAACTTGTCCAGGAGCACACAGCTGGAACGGGGCTGCGTGGGGATCAATCTCAGCCCCAGTTTATGCTCTGCATTATTAGCCTCTCTGGCCAGCCTTGCATGAGAGCCCAATTTCCTGGGGCCTCGGAAGCCCCTGCACTGGTAAGGCTCTGCTTAAGCCTTTGCTCTGAGTTCCAGCCTCCTTTGCCCTCCCAACCTCCAAAGCCGAGGTGAGCAGGAGGACTAGCAGAAGACTCCGAGGCTGCCTGCCCCCACCCAGGGAGGCCGGGCAGTAATAATATGGTTGACTGGCAGCTTTCAGGCTGCAAAGGCCTACTGCACGAGCCCACCTCCTCCCTGGCTCCTTGTGGAGGTCAAGAAAGGGGGCTTAGAAAGCAGAGAGCCTCCAAAGACTCCACCACCTTGAAGCCCAGCCCCATCACCTTGTTCTGCCTCAGCTACCCTGACAGTAAAATCGGTGGCCAGGATATGTGACAGAGAAATATAGGAGGTCTTGTGTCCATCAGGTCTCTGCCTTTGATAGAAATAGCTTCCAGAAGTTGAGGGCCCTGAGCCGGAAGGCAGGTAATATTTGTCACATGCCAAGGGGTCCTCACTGAAGTCCCACAATAACCAGTATTATAAATTGCTAATTAGTCCTACTTTAGAAGTGAAGGGGTGGAGGCTCTGGGAGGTGGATGAATTTACCTGGTTGCATGTCTATGAGGTGGAAAAGCCAGGACTTGACCCCAGGCCTGCTGGGCCTGCAGCCTCCCCTAGCTGCTGGTATCTGTGTGCTTACCCATCTCACAAAGTTGCCTCTGCACTAGGGCTTGCTGTGGGCCAGGCCCTATACCTAGTACGTCCCTCTACTTTCCAGTCTCAGGACCCTCCTAAGAGGAAGGAGGAATTAACGCTCTCCTCACTTGACAGATGAGGAACAGTGAGAAGTCCCGAACGACATAGCCAGTGAGTGAGGAACCCAGGGCGTCCTGGTGCCCATGCTGTGGTGGCCTAGACTGGTTTTTCTCTGTCTTTCTCCCAGTGTCCTACAAACCCCACACCCCCCTCTAGCTGCTCCACCTCCCCAAAGCTCCATCTGCTTGTTTTGGCTCCTTGCTCCCCAGGGGCCTCTCCCCATCTCAGGCAGAGTATGGTTCTGCCTCCAGCCAAGGAGAGGCGCTTTCCATCCCTGTGTGCCTCGCCCACCCCGTTCTCCCAGTCCCTAGCTCCCTGGACCACCTGCCTCCTCACTGGATCCAAAGGGCTAGATCTTCAAGGCAGTGACAGACCTAGCCCGGGCCCCAGAATTTGGCGATGTTTTCATTGGTGCCTCCCCTGGCCATCCTTTGGTAGCTCAGCAGGAGCTGAGGAAATCCTCCAGAGGGGACTCATGGAAGATGCCTGTGGGGAAGTCTGAGTCAGACAGGCCAGTGCCTATGTGCTTGCGCGGAGGGGGCATCTGGGAGTTGGGGAGCATGGGTAAGGCAGGTCCAAGGAGATATCTTCCTCCCAGGAGCTAGCCCCACCATCTCCTGGCCCGGGGCTATCAGGATGCCTCACCCTGCCAAGCACACAGGTCTCGGGCCGGTCCCCTGGTGCTCCCGCCCCACTCACGTGGTCGATGAGCTCCTTGATCATGCCGTTCCACTGGCCCTTGTCGTCCTGGGCCCCGTATTTGCCATCCTCCACCAGCCGGATCTCGTAGGAGAAGCCCAGGATGTGGGACAGTTCCTTGAGCAGGTCAATGCAGTAGCCCTCGAACCTGTCGTTCCCGAACAGGGTCCTGTCGGACTTGCGGAACATGACGAAGGGCTCCTCCTGCAGGGGCAGAGGAGACAGGGGCTGGCTCAGGCTGAGTGGGTGAAGGCAGGCAGGCTGGTGCTCCAGCAGATGCAGCTGGGCCACATGTCCACATACTCATGAGAAGGGAGGGCACTTGATTACGGTGGCGTTTCATCATTCTCTCAACTTTGACACTGTAGGACCCTAGGGCTAGGGGAGCAGAGACCCTCGAGGGGGTCCTGGGGTGCAGAGAGCCACTGGCAGTCTCTTGCCAAGCTCCTGCTGCACCAGAGGCTCGATCCTCTGACCCTGGGTCCCCAGTAACGCCACCTCAAGATCCTGTCCCAGCCCACAAGCGATTTACTCTAGATTTTCGACAGTCCTTTGGGATGCTTCAGAGAAAGAGGTAGGGGGTGTCTGTCTCCCCAACAGGTTCCTGCCTCCCCACGGATTCTGAGACAACCACTTCTTGCTCTCACTGGGGAAAGCTGGGTCCTTTGGTTTAGACTCCACGCCAAGTCCCAGTGCCTCTCGCCTGCCTCCAACCAGGAAGCAGCTCATGAAGTTGGAGAAGACAGACCAAGGGCCGGGGAGTGCTGGGCTGGCTGGAGCAAAGGGGACGTTGTTAGCATGTATGCCTCCTTTGTGCAAATTCTTCTCTGGGAATGCGGAGGCACCGGGCCGGGTGAGCAGGTCCTGAGTGGGGCTTCAGTCCCAACCATCCTTTCGGTCGGAGGCGCGTGCAGCGAGCAAACTGCACGACTGCACCTGTTGCTAAGGGAAGACCTGTAGATGAGGTTCCATCTTCCCCAGAGGGCTGCCAACCACAAGCAGGTTCCTGAGCAAAACTACCACTCTCTGTAAAATGGGGATAATAACAGAACCTACCTGACAGGGCTGTTATGAGAATTAAAACAATCTACGAAAAGCACTTAGAATAGTGCCCAGCAAACATAAGCTACCATTACCATCATCATCATCATCATCATCATCGTCATCACCACCACCACCATCATTAACATCATTATCTCTTTCTGTGCGCCAGGCGTCCTGTTTCTGCAGTGATCTTCCCCAGCCTAGAGACCTCACCCAATGTCATCAAAGGTGAAAAATCATCGCTGGCAGCGGAAAACCATTTCGAGAAAGGTCCCCGAGCTAGATCACTTCCTGACCCTCTCTCCATGCCCCTCCCTGGCCCTATCCTCTAAAATTAGCACTTCATTTGTGAAGCCACCACTGCCCCAGAATCTATACATCTCCATATAAATACGCTGCCTTCGGAGCAGCTGTAAAATGCCATTAATTTCGGGAAGTGCTTTGCGGATGGCATACATATTTAACAGCCAAAGCCCAGAGCATTAAAATGGTGCTCGGCTTAGTAATGTGTCTCTAGACCTGCAACATTTCCTAGGGGGTAATTCTGAACTCCGCCAACTACTTATTCATGGACTATTTCACAATTTATTACTGGAAATGTCCAGACAGCCAATTCACAAGCTCTCTCGGCTGCTAATCGATTGCTCAGTGAAGGTGCCCTCAATTTCATAACTTCACGCTCTCCTATTGCTCTGGGAGAACGGCCACAGGAGCAGGGGTAATATTTCTCTTCAACAAGTCACAGAAAACAGGGGTCCAGAAATATAACCTTTCCCGACTTTTCATTGCCAGGGCTCTTAGATGAGTTTCTCTCGATCACTTATACCCACATGAAAGCCAGGCCTAACGCTAAGCTTCTCCCGGCAGAAGACCTGCGGATTTGGAAGAAGGGGCCTTGTGGGTTTGGGGTAAACCCAGGGTTGACCATCTCATAGGTGTGCTCTGCAGGCCCTGCCTGACTCAGGTGGTCACAAAGCATGGCCTCAAGTATGTCCAGTACCCCTGGCACATCCCTGGATATTCTGCCAGCCCAGGTCTGCTCTGACACCGAGGCTGAGTGCCCGGGACCCACGGCCTTGGCCTCTGCTTGTCAGAAGCATGCCAGAGGCCCGGTGTCCCGAATCCCTGCAGCTGGCTAGCAGGGTGGCTGTCCCAGCCCATGTCTGGGCCTTAGGTTTTCTGTGTCCACTGCTGGGTGCCATGGGCCCTGCCTGGTGGCTGAGTCTATGTGGGTCACGATGTGTGCACAGCACAAAAACACCCACCGGTGCGTGTCCAGACACCTGTGCTAAGCTGGCCCCACACCCACATGTACCCACACACAAGCCAGCGCTGCCGCTCACTTCAGCAGCCAAAAGAATGCTGAACCTTCAAAAGCAGGGCCCCCAGGAGCGAGCCGGTGTGCTTTCTCGTTGTGTGAGCTGAGGTTTGGGTGGATGAATTTTTCATGAGCTTGTGGAAGAGCGGAACCTGATCAGAGGCTGGGCCAGGCGGGGAGGGGTGTAGAGGGGCGGGGAGGGCAGGCTTCCAGATGCCTGTGGCTGCGCTTCTGGCTTTAGCAGCAGGAAGGCCGCCTGCAGATCTGAGGGGCCAGAGGGGGTAGGTTCGGGGCTCTGCCCATCTTTCTGCCCAGCGTAAGGCACCCTTAAGCACTCAACCCTAGAGTTCAAGATAGGAGAGGAGAGGAGAGGAGCTGGGTTGGGGGGGTCACCCGCACACAGCTGATGCCTCTGCCACATCCAGATTCTGGGGAACAGAATGAGGAGGAGGATCCCCTATCATGAGGGGTTTGAGTCCGGGCCCTGTTCTCTAGGGCAAAGCATTGGATATTCCTGCACTCCTGCCTTGGTACCTGCCTGTCACTCAAAGTTCTGTTGCCCTGACAACGCACTTCCAGACAGACAGGGACCAGTGCTCTCAGCAGGAGGTGCTGACCCTACTTACAGGCTGCCAAGCATGGGACTGGGGCTGGGTTTTCAGCCCGAGCCATAGGCCTGGGCCAGGTTGGACCACTCCCCACAACTGGTGCACTGTCTTCAAGAACCCCAACCTGAGAGCACCCCAGGCCTCTAGCAGACCATACTGACTTTAAGGGGCACCCCTTGGGGCATGTGGATCAGTTCCAGGTTTTCAGGTAGCCCCACACCAGTCCATTCACGGAGTGGGGGTCTCTCAGGAGTGTCCGAGGACATTTCAGCTCTACGCGGACTTTCTTAGAGCCCAGTGTCAGGGCTGTGTCATCGACTGTCCCCACCAGCAATTGCCAGGGTCATCCTTCCTTTCCCAGCCTGCAGGAAAGCCTGGGCATCTCTCACTGCCCAGAAGTAGACCCAACCCTTCATGACCTCTGGGCAGTGGGAATGGAGAGGGCTGAGCCTCAGGACCCGCAGACCACGTGAGGATCTGAAACTACACATGGTCAGTTGAGATGGTCAGCGGGCATCTGCCTCAAGTGGCCAGCAGCTGTGCCAGAGGTTGAGGTATGGGGCTTAGGGGCAGGGAATTGTCATGTTGTCAGGGCCAGGAGCTCAGACCACGGCAGGGCAGGGGATGAGGCAGTGGCTGAGATCTGGAGTTTTAGGTATCAGTAGGAGACAAGAGCTAAGGGGCTCAGGAGGTCACAGCCCTCAGGCTTTTGGGGGCCAGTGAGAAAACACCTATATAAGAGCAACCAGCTGTGAGCCCTAGGGAGCGGCGGGGTCTGTGGTGAATCAGGGCACATCCACCGGGCCTGGCGGGCACCCACAGGCAAGTTCAAAATTGATAACGTGCCCTGTGTGGGAGATGACCTCTGTGACCACAGGCAGGGGGCAGGCTTCTGCGGAGTTCAACATTCTGTTTGTGGTCAGAAGCAGAGACTTTCTCCAGGACTCTCACTCTGACTACTATATTAAACCTGAGCTCACTGGGCACTGGGTTTGTAATCAATAATGATAATGATAATGATAATAGCAGCTATTACTTAACAGCATGCACTCTGCCATTTATAGTTATTAAATCATTCATCCTCTCAACTCAATGAAGTAGAAAGAACTATTATGCCCTTTATTTTCAGATGAGGAAACTGAGGCAGAGGGGCTAAGCCATTCTTCAGGATCATACAAGTAAGCAATGAAAGAAAAGTCAGGGCTCAAACCCAAAGATTTGTCCTTTCAACCATCACTCAGCTTCACCCCTGTGCCCTGTCACACTGCATGTCCCAGAGCTGCTGGGCCCAGAAGGGCTTTGCTCCTTCCGAGCTCAGGGAGCCTGAGAAGTAGCAGGATGCTGGGAGCGAGACCTGCAGTGAGCAACGAAGGGCAGCAACCAGGACCTTTGCAAGAAGTTGTGGGGCCTCTCCTGGTAGCGCAGGCGGTTGAGCGCAGCGCTGTGAAGCTGTCCTCAGCCTCTGCAGGGCAAGTTCGATCCCGGCCTGCTGGCGAGGGTCCCACATGGCGTGATGTGGCAGACCTCTCCTATCTCACCTGCTGCTCCCCTCAGCAGTGTATTTCAGTCAGTCTAGTCTGCCTGTCCTGTTCCCCACTCCGTCTCTGGTGAATCCTCTCACCCTCCTGTGCATCTGGTCTGTGCCCCGATTCTTGTATGCATGAATAAATAAATCTTTCAAAAAAAAAAAAAAAGTTGTGAGCGTCTCCCGGGAAGTTTCGGGAACAGCATGGGATGTCTGCTGGACTCTGTCTCTGCGGTTGTAGGAAAGTCCCCAGTGTCTTTGCAGAGGGCCTTACGCCCTTGAAATAAGGATGCTGCCGACTTGATGGAGCGTCACCCTTCAGGTGTGTGTATTTTGCATCCTTTTGGTAAATTGTCTTTCGCTGGCCTCTCACTCTTGGACTATTGTTTTGTAGCTGAATCATCTCAGCCCATTTAATCATCTCCACCTAGTCTCGGAAAGCATACTAGTTTTACCTTTTTTAAATCTTGTATGTGAAGTGTTTTATTTATATCTCACATTTTATGCAGCACTGCTTTTAATCTTTTACCACCTTTTTACTATTTTATTTTTACCCTTTTATATTTTACTTTGTCACCCTTTTATCCTTTTGCTTTTTGACATTTTGGTTTTTACTTTTTTTCACCTTGTCTAGCCAGGGCTGTTAATTATTTATTTTAATTTTTTGTCTTTCCTGATAGCTTTCGTTTTTATCTCATTCCTTATTTTCTTTTTTCTCTTTATTTTACTTTTAACCTTTTTATTTTGTTCTCTTTCCACTCGCCTTTCATCATTTCTATTTTTATCCACATCCATATTCCTTTAATTGCTCATCAGTTTTCACGCTAATTTCTTTGCTCTTTTTGTTGCTGTTTAATCTTCTAGATTATTTTAGTTAACAAAAAGTCGATCACTAACAAAAGACAAGCTGTGTACTTTGGGGGAAGATACCAGTGGAAGGCGCACCCCAAAAGTGCTGTGCAGGCTCCAGCCTCTAACCCTGGCTCCATCAGCAGAGGGCCCAGACCACCTTCGATCTCCAACACCCAACACTTTTTTCTTAACATTATGTTCATTGAAGTCAAGTAGGTTTACATCATTATATTGGCTTTGGGGGTTATAGGTTTAAACCTCTACAAATGTATGTTTTCACACCCTGCCCACTACGAGCACCCCGATAATCACCCATGATGTGGTTATGATTAAAGGCCACAGTCGCTCCCCAGAAGCTGATGGTGCCCTGGCGTCTGCGCTCACTGGGGCTCCAGGTGAGTGGGATTCACTGTTATTTCCTTCCTGCCCCGAGGTGCCTGCCACCCCGCCATCCAGCATGTACCTGGTGAATCTCCCCAGAGGGAGGCCCCCACTCCCCAGTGGGGTCTGGCTAAACTGCTCCGATAGGAGGCAGGTGGACAAAGCTATCCGAGTACCGTGCAGGGCTGGGTGACCCCTCCAGCCCAGTTCCCAGATTCCGTCCCCTGGCAGGCTCTCTCTACCACAATACCCCAACAAGGCGGCACCCCCTTTGGGGACCAAACATACTGGCTCTATTGTAAGGAGAAGCTGATCAGCACATGAATTGTCCTCAAAGAGTCTTTGGTCAGAATCTGCTGGACTGGCCGGCTGCCTCCCCACCACATGGCCCGGCCTGGGTCCCCAAGAGCAGTGCTGTGTCTCTGAGGGAGTGTGCCAAGCCTCCGGACATCCACAGGTCTTCTGCGAGGGACCGGCATGTAGAATGGCCACCGTGCTGGTCAGTCCCGGGGGGCCAGTGGCCTGGGTCTGTCCTCCCCACCCAGAGCGCCAAGGGCGGCTGCATGACCCAAGGGCCACTCTTTGAGTTGAATGGTCAGAAGAACAGCCCTGAGGAGTGAAGGGTGGGAGCATGGCCAAGCGCTCTTGGGGAGGAGAGCTGTGGGGTGTGGCCACAGCCAGGGTGACTGTGCAGCCTTTTCCCTGGGAACTGAGATGGGAGAGGTGGACCCCAATTCCTGGTACAGAGACAGTTTTATCTCCTTTCCACCACTCATGGTTCCTGCTCAGGCATCAGGGAGGGGCTCAGGGAGTAGGTGGGGTGAGAGGCAATAATGCAGGTCTCTGAGAAGCACTGGCCACCAGGTCTCAGGCAGGCAGGAGGACTAAACCCTCTGCCTTTGGGAAATGGCTGCTCAGTTGCCCCCTGGGGCCTTTAGCCCATGGCCATGGGCAGAGATGCTGTGTTCCAAATGCTCTCTGAGGGCTTCCAAGCAATCCTTAATGTTTCCATCCTCCTGCACCTCCTCTCCACCATCTTCCAGGCTCCCAGCAGCCGGGAAGTGTAACTATGGAGGGGTTTCTCAGCTCTAAGGCCCCCCTCCCTACCCCTCATGCCCTCCTGCCAACTCTTACCAGCACTGTGGTGACAATGAGTGACCTGTTTGTCAGGGAGTCGGTGACATTAGGGCCCCGGCCTTTGGCAACTTCCGTGATGTTGAGTCCCTCGGCAGGACTCCACACCCCGACCTGGGTGGATAGACAGACAGAGATTAGAGGGGCGAGTCCCAGCCTCTCCATCCTTCCCCTGCACCAGCAAGGTCATCATCTCATTCCCACTATTCAGATCATCCCCTTCGCTGCTAGCAGGTGTTGAACTCACCTTCCTGATAGCCCTGCCGCCTCCCTCCTTCATAGAGGAGACCCCCTAAGTGTTCGAATCTGATCTGCCACCTCCCCTTGCTGGCAAACCCATCACTGCTGAAGGGGAACTGCAGAGGGAGAGGGTAGACAGCTCAGGTTGCTCAGAAGAAACCAGCTTGGGGTAGTGCAGATGCCAGGAACCAGGGGTTCTGGGTCATAGCCAGGTCCTGTACTCCCAAGAGTCACTCTGAGCCTAGTGGGCTGCCCACCTTCTGGGGAAGACCCTGGGCACCTAATTGCTTCCTCATTGGGTCTTAGCCCCAGGGCTAGCTTCTGGGGCCTCATGCCTTCCAAAGGCCAGGACAGAGCTGGAGCAAGGGAGATGTTCACTAAACATCTGTGGGATGGGCGAGGAGCCCAGCAGGCTGGGCAGGAGGCTGGTCTGGGTAGTTGTTCGGGGTGGGGCTTGATAGAACAAAGAGTGGACACCCCTCACCACAGGTCTTGGATGCCATTGGGTTTGATGGCAGGTTGCTTTGTGGTTTTACTTCTAAAGTTGGCAGATACCTGGCCAAGGTGACTTTCTGTCGCTCCCCATAGTGCCCTATATTGATATCAGGTCCAAGGCTGAAGGGAGGTAATTACTCTAATGTCCTGGACCTCTTGAAGGTTCTTTGGATCCATCTCTGCCCCATCACAGCTTCTTGCCCTCAAGGAAGGTTTCAGCCTATCTACTCTGTCCTTGGCCCAGTTGGGGCTACTCAGGAAATTTAATCAATTAAACAGAGAGATCAAATGCAAACATCCCATTAAAAGAGCTGTGCAAATCAGATAGCAGAGAGACATGTAATTATGCTTGGGTAATTCTGCCTTAATCCTCCCAAAGCCACTGGCTGGAGCTGGCTGGATCAGCTATGACCCGGCTTAGCAAACAGAAGTGATGATACAAGACGCAGTGTGGCCATGTTTGGGGGCTCATCATCCTCTCTAGGCAGGACCTCTGTCTATGCAGACCCTCCTGTCCCCCCAAGTCGAGGGGAGACAAGCAGATAGCATCAAAGGGGCTCTTCTCTCTGAGAAGGGGCTGAGTTCAGAAGTAGGTTTGGCACAAGGGCCCCTAACAGCTCCCCTGGGTGCAGGAGGCCTCAACAGACATCTGTCCAGTGGCCCAGTGAATAGCAGGAACTCTCACCAGAAAGCATCTATTGAGCTCCAACTGTATGCCCCAACAGACACCAGGTGCTATGAGATGTGAGAAGTTAGGATTGAGGAGGGTCCAGCTAGTGGACGCTCTGCCCACAATCCAGGTGGCTGTGACCAGGAAATTCTGGTGGGTGCCTCTGCAGGTCAGCCTTGTCTGGGTATAGCAATTTTTGAGTATTAGTTATGGTCAATTTGCCAGTTTCAGGGAGGGCTGTTGGGAGAAGGATGCTGTGGGTGGGCTCAGATGGGAAGAGCGCACTGATGATCAGTTACTAATGTCTGCCATGGGCACGGGCATGGGAAGTGGTATCAGGTCTGCCGTCTGATCACCAGCCTTAGATTTTAGGTGATCGACAGAGATAGATCACCAAGAGAGGAAGAGTAGACAGCAGTTTGCAGTAGTACTGCCAGAGGAGGAAGGGGCCTCCCCAGCACTGCTGGAGTTTAAACAGAAGAGGGAAGACCACCTAATGAGAATGCTTATGGTTTGTATAGGTGGACCCACTGGCCCCCAGGGTCTCAGAGCAGAAGTCACAGCCCTGGTCTTTAAGGGACAGAGGCTCTACAAGGCATGAAAGAGTTACAGAGAAATGGTGTGGGTTCCCTGGTCACACCTCCCCAGCACAGGGGTTCCTTAGGTCCTTGGGAAATTTAGGAATGAATGGAGTGACCCTGACCACAAGGTGCAACCCAGGCACAGCCAGATCTGTGCCTGAAAGCGTGAGCCAAGGAGACAGGTCATTCTTGCTGCCAGGGTGATTATGCAGGGCCTGGAGGGAGGATGTGTAGACAATGGGGTTGTCTGGGGGAGGGGCAGCGGAAGCTAGGCCTGGAGAGCAGGTTTGGGAGAGGCAGAAGGGCCCTGTGATGGGTGGATTTAACGAGGGCACCAGGGAGACCGGGCAGTTTCAGACCAGAGCAGAGCTGTGCCTGGGAGGCTTCATCGTGTGGGTGCTGAAATGGCCAGAGGACTCAGTAGTACAGGTGAAAAGCCAGGTCAGGATGTGAAAATAATCCAAGAAAGAGGCCTGAGCCAGCTGGTAGGGGAGGAAAGGAGAGTGGTCAAGGCCTCCTGAAAGCCCACAGGCATCAGAGGTGGCCCCTCCGCTTCCTGGTCTCTGCTCCAGGCACTTTGCACACCCCGCTCTCAAGGTTGGCGAGGTGTCCTTGTGGTTCCCAGGGCCAGTCCGCTATGGGAGAGGGTATGTCCGAGTCCCTGGCCCAAGCTCCCAGGGGACTCTGAGAATTGGGGCTAATGTTAAATTCCCCCTTCTCAGCCTGGCAGCCTGGCTCTGACAGAATATGCTGATGGTTCCCAGGGTCAGAATCTGCCCCTACAAACATTTCCTCTGATAGCCAGATGGGAGAGAGAGCACAGCTCCAGGTGGGCCTGCAGTCCTCATCCAAACTCCCTGGAACTAGAAAAGCTTTAGAAATCCAGTGCTTCTAGAATCAGCATCCATCTGCTTCAAGGGTAAGATTCCCCTCTAGTCTCCCAGACAAGCATTCACTGCTTAATCTCTGCTTAAATGCTCCCAGTGACAGGGAGCTCACTACTCCTCAGCAGGCATCGCCTTGCCATTAGAAACTTCCTCTTATCAAGGACATGTCTGTGTTCCTTGAAGGGATTTAGAGACAGCTGTTTGCCCTATGAGCCTTCCATTTCTCTTCCCAGGCTAAGCACCTATAACGGCTCACAGGGTGATGGTCTGGGGTCTGCTGTGGCCAGGACCCTGGGTTCTGCACCCTCCAATTTGACCTGGCCTTTGAAGCACAGGCCATTCCAGGTGATGCCAGACCCTCTCCAGGCAGGTGGGTTGGGCCTGGCCCCCTCTTTCTGGGCCTCTGCCTGGGCTCTGTGCTGGGGGGTATCGGAGCCCCTGTGCCACTCCTGACATCCCTCTCCTGAGCCCACGCACCTTCTCTAGGCCATCCTCCTTCAGGCTGATGATGTCCAGATCGAAATCCGTCCGTAAGCCACTGGTTTTGTTGAAAACAATCCGTCCAGTTAATCCTTCCCATTGAGCCTGCCGGAGGGGAGAGGGCAGAGCGGCAATTCCTCGGGCTCATAAATCATCATTCGGTACAACTGTACAATGCTTCATTTTAATTACTCCTTGCACTGATACTGTTCCCCCAAGACCATGATTAATTAATAATCACCTCCATCATTGCTCGGGCTGTGGTGCGAGCCAGCGATTTCCATAAATTCTATTATGCTCTTTAGCCAGCTTTACATTTGCACCTTCTCGTGTACAACATCGATCTCGGATGCGCTCAAATGAACCCCCCGCCTCGAAGTCCTAAGAAGGGGGAGCCCATGTCAGATCCCCAGAAAGGGCAAGGAGGCGGTGGACAGAGCTGGGGGAAAAAAGCTAAGGGACATCGCCAGCCCTGGTTGTGAACCTGGACACTCGGGGTCACCCCCAGACAGCTGGGGGAGAGAGAGGTCCCCCCACCCCCCCGCCCCAGTCCCCTGCATCCACTGGCTCAGGACTCTGGGTCAGGGTGCTGGGCCCAGCCGTCGCTGTGTGACCGGGGGACCTCTTTCACCTCTCTGCCTCAAGCGCCTCATCTATAAAATGGAGCTAATGATAGTATCCATCTTACCAAAATGCGATGAAGGTGAAATGAGATAAGTCACATAAAATATTTAGAACGGTATCTGCTACACCTGAGTCCTGAATAAATGGGTCGGCAAACTGTGGTGATCAGCCCAAACAGGTCTGTGCTGGTTTTGGTAAACACTCGTCACAGCCACACCCAAGCATTTACATCTTATCTCTGGTCGGCTTTGTGCCCTGCAGGTGGATGGCTGACTGTCTGGGCCCATGATATTTGCTATCAGGCGCCCCCCACAGTTTGTGGACCCTGTTCTAGAGAATACCTTTCCTGTGGGCCCAGAGAGTCAGCTCTGCAAGGCCCTTCCCACAGGAACCTGCACGGTAGCCCCATGGGCCAGGCGGGGGTGGGATCACAGACCAGGAAGCAGCCCCACTGGGGGTCTGTGGTCCCCAAGCTCAAGAGTGAACAAGAGGCAAAACTGAGTTGGAGTTTGGGGTCCTAGAGCCCCACCTCTTCAGCTGCAGCCCCATTCCCTCCCCTCCCTTGTGAGTCGCACATGATAAATGCTCCAAAGGTGTGGGCTTTCTGTGGCCGGGAGGAAAGAAATGAGCGCACATATCCTGGAGTCCCCGGGAACACAGGAACTCTGGGGACTGGAGTGAGTCCAGGAGCTCATGCGGCCCCACTGTCCAGAAGGGTGGGGTGGGAGGGCAGTGTTCGAGCGAGCGTACAGGCCGCAGGGGAAGGTCCTTGTTTGGCCCATGCGGTTCAAAACACACTGGGAGTCAGGATACCTCTGCAGAGTCTGACAGAGGCCCCAGAGTCTCTCCCTGACTGCAGGCCCCTGGGGAGCCTTGCTCACACGCACAATTTTTCACTCAAGTTCACGGCGGCACAGATCCCTGCGGGCCTATCTCGAGAGCCCACACTAAGAGCCTTGGGACTCTCCAAGCACTTGGCTCTAAAGCCTTCTGGCAAATGTGGTGATGGGCACTTGGGAAATGTGCTCAGGAGGTGTGTGTGTGTGTGGGGGGGGGGGCTGTCCAGCAACAGCAGGGAGAATATAGCTCTGCACAGGGCTCTACCCAGCTTGAGCTCCGCACAGGGGAAAGGTCTCTACCTCACAGGTGTTCAAAAGGTGCAGCCGGTGCTTAGCCTGGTGTCTGGCATATTCAACCCTGACGAGGTGGTAGAGGCGATCATTTTCCCTTTGTTGCTTCCTTCCGTGGTGCCCCCTTGATTAGATCTGGCCCCTGGCAGGGGTGCTTGTGGTCTGTGGCCATGGCCTGAGGCATCAGCGGAAGCCCCATCATAGAGCCCTGAACTCCTTTCCTGTCCAGCCCATCTGGGTCCCACCACGGTCTTGCCCCAGGTGGGTGTCATCTACACCCCCATTTTACAGTCATGGACACTGAGGCACAAAGAGGGACTGAGCTAGTCAGGTCCAAGGTAGCAGTGGTGCGGGGCTCGCTGGTTCCTTCTCTGCAGGAGCAGAGCGGAAGGGGCTGGGGGCGTGTGTCCAAGTGGAGTGGGGGGAGCTTATGGGACCCAGGGAAATGGAGCGGGGATGGGGATGAGCTGACCCACCAGAGAAGGTGGAGGCTGTGGCTTGACTCCACAAAGAGGCTCTGTCTCCCTCCCATTGGCCCCCCAGTCCTTCCACCCAGCCCCTCCCCATCCCTTGGCTCCCCCTCTCTGCCAGTCCCCAATTCCTAAGGCTACCTTGAGGCGGGGCGGCGGGGGTGGGGGGGCCCAGGGGAAATCACAGTAGGTGTCTTCAAACCTGCCCTGGGAGGGGAAGCCTTCTTCCTTGTCAGCTACAGAGGAATTAAATGCCAGCAGGTGCGTGGCCTGTCTGTGGGCGGCTGGGCAGGGCCAGGGCTGGGGCAGGAGGCTGCTGGCAGCTCCTCCCCGTGACATTTCCCTGCCCGCCTGCCCCTTCCAACCGCCGCTCAGGCCTCGCTAAATGAAAGATGCTTCACACGCTCTGAACTCCGGCCTGGTATTTTCCAGCTCCTCTCGAAAATGCCAAGTCTTTAAAATGATTTACTGTCATGCAGTCAGATGGGGAAAGATGGGGAGATGGGCACTTGGAAATGGTCTGAAGGAAGCCTGTGTGCTGGACTCAGGCCGGGCATCCGGCCCTGGTTGTGGCCAACCGTGGGTGAGTGTGTGGTGGTTCTGGGCCTCGGTCCCCAGAGCGCTCAGGTGGAGGTGAGAGAAAGGTGTGTCAGAAAAGGGCTCCATAAAGGAGCGTGAGTATGAGGCCATCCACTGGGCTGGGGCCAGGAACAGGAGGGCCAGCACACCAGCCTGGGGTGCTCAGCTCCGGGTGGCAGCTCTCCTTTCTGTCCCTAGGGCAGGGAACAGTCCCTTCAGGGCTTCATAGCCGCTCCTCAGGCATTCTGAGGGGTGAGAGGTGATCAGGATGGGGGTCCTTGAAGCTACTGAGATCCCTTTCAGCTGGAAACTTAGCACTGAACAAGAACCTGCTGTGGCGACAGTCGCGATGAGGGAAATAATGGCGAAGAGCAGTCAACCTGAGTACCTGCTCTGTGCCAGGTGCTGTCCTAAGGGCTTCAGACTTACCATAACTCACCGGACCCTACAACACCCTGCCGTTACCTCTGCAGTAAAGACAGGGACCTGAAGCAGAGAGAGGTTCAGTAATTTGCCCAAGGCCACACAACTCAAGTGTGGTTAAGCTGTGAAACCACTTTTTTTCTGCCTCTGAAGGCTCCTGGGATTGTGGGATCATGAAGTCAATGGCTGCCCAGGCCAGCCAGGCCATGCTCAGGACATGGGACAGTCGGACTTCCTGTGTCGTTTGCCTGGGCTGGAGGAGCAGGGACCCAGCACTGACACCGCAGTCCCTTCTGGAGGTTCATGTGGATTGGAAATCCATTCCGTCTGAGTCCCAAGCGGAGCCTTTGACCCCTGCGCACTGAGCATACGGCCCCCAGGGAGACAACCCTGGGGAGGAGTGTGGGGTGGGGTGCAGATCCTCACCTCCTTGATGAAGTTCATGAAGCGGCCGCCAAAGCGCCAGGCCTTGTGTCGATGGCACTGCAGGGAGTTCACGGTCATCTGGGGCGCCCGCTGGTAGCACACGGACACGATGTGGACAGCGTCGTACAGCAAGGCCGCGTCGGTCTGGAGGGGAGCGCCCAGGGCCTGCCTGAGAGCGGCTCCCACGCCTCCAGAGGCCTTGGCCACCCTGTCCCACCTCCTTCCCCTCTGCTGCCATGGTGCTTGGGATCCTAGGGAGGGAGAGGCCCTGAGGCGCCAGAGGTGGCCCTGTCTTGCCCCCGGTGAGCAGCAGACTTGGGTGACTGCTGCTCTGTAGACATCCCCACTCCTGCCTTCTGCAGCATAGATCTCCTCTGCCAGTGCCCCCACCCCACCTCATTGCCCTCGTTACTAGGCACTGACCACACCGTCTCCTTCCTGCCTTCCCAGTTGCCGGCTGGCCACGGCCAGAAGATCTCCCTCTGCTCCAGGCCCCTGATCCCCACCCCAGCTCTCTGTAACCATGCTTAACGACCAGGTCCCAGTGGGTGGGTCTGTGCCTGATCCCTAGCCTAAGCCTCACGTCTAGCTGACACACAGCAAGTCTAAATAAGGGGAGTGGTGGAGGGAAGACAGAACCAGGGAGGGAGGAAGAAGAGGCGCCCCCAGTTCGGGCCACCGCTGTACCATCATCACTCCGTCCAACAGGCCAGACTCGGCCCGGGGAGCCGCCTGCAGCCGTTCCATGGACCACTTCTCCACGATGGCGGAGACGTGGGGGTTGTCCACGTTGAGGATGCGGAACCCGGTCAGGTTCACCCCCGAGTAGCGGTAGGGCTCCAGGTCTAACGCGTACAGATCCTGAGAGAGAGAGGCGGGTTAACATGGGGGCCCTGCAGTTAGCCCCAGGCCCACCCCTCCACTTACTCTGCCCCACAGCTCCTGCAAAGCCCAAGGGTGAGGCTCAGTGCTAGAGCCCCCACAGGAGCACTGTTCTTAGAGTCCATTTGACTTGGAATCCCCATCTGCCCCGTGGCTGCCCCCACAGCCTCCTTGCTGGACTTCTCGGGGAACTGACTCAGCCTGTTTCTTCATCTGCAAAATGGGCATGTTCCGTCTTTATGGGACCCAGCGAGGCAGCTCCCACACAAGGCCCGGCCTTCAATATGAAAGTAACTTGATCACGGTTACCACGGTCATTTCCTCCCCAGGGGTGGCTGGGTCTGGGCATCTCCAGGTAACCCAGAGGGAGACTGAAGGAGCATTTTATCGTCCAAGGAAGGTATTTTGGGCCAGCTCTTCTCCCCAGGACCCAGGAATCACCAGTGCCCTCTCCTCTCCCCTCAACCCCCCCCATCCAGAGTCAGGCCAGCCTGTTCCTGAGGACCAGTCACATCTAGCCCAGGACCCTGGGCAGGACAGTGGGCCTCAGCTCCCTACCTGTCCCCGACCCTGTAGCTCCAGCTCTGCACAGTGGGCTGGCAAGAAGAGGCAGCAAAGGGGCAAGGGAGGGCAGGCAGAGGAGAGTCAAAGTTAGGTAGCGTGTCCTGTCAGTGTCGCGGGAAACCTGTTCACAGACCCCAGGGGTGGATAATTCTCCAAGCATGCAGCTGGGTTTGATTTCCCTGTCAGCGCCTGGTTAAAGGCCCAGATTTGGGTCAACTTGTAGATTTTTGTCTGCAGAAAAGAAAATCCCCAAGGTTGTGTTTTATTGCCCCGCAGGACATTAATCCACGTTGTATCTTAGCAGTCTATCCTAGCAGTCTTATTCTATGTTTTTTTTCTTTCTCCCAAATACCCATAAATACTCAATCCCTCAAACGCTCTTTGAGCCAGCGCCGCCACCCTGCTGGCTCCCTATTAATGAGTTGCATACATCTTTGACACATGCTCATTCTGTCTATGCACGAGGCATGTTTTTTACCTCTTGAAAAATGCAGTTTGACAGCCTAGATTGCCCTGTCCCACTAGTGGGGAAACTGAGTCTTAAGGTCATTATCTATCTCAGCCCCTCCTCATCTATTGTCTATTCCACACTCTCCCCTTACTAGGTTGCCTTCCACCCTTTCCCCTGTACACTGTCTAGCCCTCTGACCTGGCCACTCTATCTCCGGCTGGACAGCAGTGGCTGGGTCACTATACTGCCCCTCCTTGGCTGCAGCCATCTGGAATAACAGCAGCCCCGTCAGTCCCAGCTTTGGTGTAATGGATGATGGCTGCAGAAGGTGAAAGACACTCCCTGGGGCTCTTTTGCACTGTGCTGGCTCTCTCTGGTTTCTTAACTGTCCCTAACTGATGCAGAACTTCTATTCTCCTGAACCCCCAAAACAAGCCCCTTGTGGAATGCATTGTGTTTGTTCCCTCTTTGGAGATTTAGGGAATGGGGGTGAGGCTTGGGCATATTTGAGCCTGCAGCAAGATAGATTTTAGTCCCAGCCTTGTCCAAACAAATCCAGCTCTGAATTGGGATGGGGAAGGGCTGTTGGGAGCGGGAAGCAGGGTCTTCAGCAGATGGGGGGTTGCCATGGAGTTGGCCAGAGGGCATCTACATGGCCCTAATATTGGGGGGAGTAAAGGGAGCACAGAGCTCAGCTCTGCCCATGGAGCCCCCCATCTGTTCATGAAGTAGGTATTTCACAGCATTCCTTTTACACTTGAGGAGGCAGGGTGACAGGTGACTTGCCGGTCACAGAGATGGTAAAGGGCAGAGCTGACCTTGTACCCAGCTCCATTTCTATGGTGCTGGAGATGGCTCTCACTAGCTTGTGAGAGGTAGTTGTTAGCATTCCTTCCTGACTCCGCATGTGGTGAGATCACCTTGGTAGTGTGATATGGATGGAAGGAGTATTTACACCATGGGAAGTGGCAGGTGCTAGAAATCTCATCCCTTTGGAGAGTGGTTTGCACACTGTTGTCTGCTGTATTCAGAGACCCTTGTGCTTTATATTCCCAGGGACTGTCCAACACAAGATATGTATCAGAATTGTCTTTGTAGCTTTTGGGGGAAAGGTATTGACCATACAGAGTCTGGAGGGGGGTGGGTGCAGTAACTCTGCATTTTGAGAAGTAACAAACTACGTGGTTATTCCTGACTGGGAAACACGGAGAGGGGGTTCTTGGCTTTGATGGGGGTAGGGATACCTAAGAAATCACTGAAGAACAGGAGAGCAGAGGACACACTGGAAGGAGGCCTCTTTCCATACCCCCTTTTGAGCACAGTTACAGAGGCAGCCTGAGTAAAGGTTAGCAGCACTGACCATGAGGCCTGGCCATCTGGGGTCAGTTCCAGCTGCTTTCCCTGCCTGATAGCCTCATTTGCAAAATGGGGATGAAAACAGTGCCTACTGTGAATGTTGCCAGGAGGAAGAAATGGGTCAATAGTTGTACTCAGAAGGTGACTGATGCAGAGAAGACATCATGTGAGTGTTTGACAAATATTCACATTCTTCCCCCTCTGGCAGCAGGTGTGATGGCTGGCGGGCACACTCCCAAGGCCACTGGAGGAGAATATTGAAAGAGAGGAACAAGAGCTCTTCCCCCAACTGTCTTTGAAGGCAGCGAGTCCGGGGAGATGGGGATTTTGTTGTGCACAGTGGGGTATGTAGGCTTGGGGCCATGTAGGCTTGGGGCCATGGAAGAGAAGCTAAGCTCTGCCTCCAGAGGGGCACACTCCTCACTCTGCCCCTGCACCGGGCACCAGTCTCTCCTACGATTCAGTGTAGACCTAATATCTAATGCTTGAAAGATGCCCCAAACACTAGCATATGTAGGGCTCCAGGAACAGGTTCACCCCGTCTTGGAAGCTCTCTCCTCAGCGGGGCTCAGGCCCTCAGCCTCTGGACCAGTGTTTGGCCTGCAGGTGCACAGAGGGGCTGCAGGCAGTCACAGCCTGGGAGGGGCTCGATGGGGTGAGCAGTGCTAGGGTCACCTTTGCCCGGTCCCCCTGAGCGTGAGCTTAGTTGCCAAGTGTAGCAGGACTTGTGGCACCAATGTGCCATCCCCCTGTGACATGAGGCCGGTGACAACAGGGAGCTGGTAAAGAGGCCTCTTTGTCCAGCTTCAACTATTTGTCCAAACTGCCCTGGACTGAGATCCCCTAATGCTGTACACAGTGAACTGTGCACAACCTTGCTGCTTGGCAAAAAGTTGCTGTTCTCGATGCCAAATGTTGACACACTGAATTCAGTATCGACGAGGGACCTTTTAGAAACATTCAGCATAACATAATAGACTAATTCATTAGCACCCCATGGGTCTGACTGGATAGAAGCTGAAGCTCAGAAAACATTGCCTTAAGGAATGACAGATGAAAATATCTTTCCCATGATGTAACTGTTATTGCCGGGAAGTGGCATTAATTGTGATTGCCTATCTATTAATTTATTATAATTCTTTTTTCACCTCCAGGCTTTTACCTACACATGACATGTAGCAGGGGCTCAGCTGGGGCTGATTAACGTGGGGTTATCTGGGAATGGCTCAAAGCTGGCTGGAACAGATAATGGCAGCTGGGGTAATTAAAATGTCTTCTGTGTGGGAGAAGCAAGTTTGGGGAATTTTTTAGAGGCAAAGAGTCAGTGATGTGGATTTCCTAAAGGGAAGGAGATAAATGCCAAATGCCACTGCCCTTCCAAATGCAGCCACCACTGACCAATGGGCACGAAGAGGCAGGATCACGAGGCAGACATCTGCGCCAACAGGGCTGGGGGAGAATCCTGGAGCTGGAAGCTGGATGTGGGGTGGGCAGGGGCCCTGGGGCCATAGCCAATGCCCTGGCACATGGAGGGCTGTGGGGTCCTATGTGCTAGGTACAAACACACACACACACACACACACACACACACACACACACACACTCACATTCTACTGCAGAACTGTCTGTATTGCTGATACTGTGTCCCCTGACCCTCGGGAAAGGACAAAGGGTGTGAACAGTAGTGAGCAAGGCCAGAGGTCAGAAGCCAAGGCCTCCACCACTGATCTGCTATGAGACTGTGGGCGAATCACTCAACTTCTCTGGACCCTGTTGGCCAGTCAACAGGGAATGCACTCTGCCTTGTGAAGAGGAAAATCAGTGAGGTGGAGAAAGGGTTTTGAAATCTGTGAAGTGTGGGTGCTGCTGGGATTTGTGGACGCTCCATTCCCCCCATTAGTGTCAATCACCAGATCTGGAAGACTATGGCCACGTGGAATCGGAGCCACTGGAGGAGGCCAGGTAACGCTTGGTGCAGCTCTCAGGGTGACGGGTTTTGGCAGAGGGCTTAGGTGCTGGACAGCTCCTGGCTGCTAAAGATCCTGGCTTGGCCCCTTTCCTGTTGAATGACCTTTCTGAGCCTCAGTTTCGACTGTCTATAAAACTGGGAGATCCTATCTCTCTTGGGGAGTTGTTTTGAATTTTGGATGAAGTGGTTATTAATACCACCGTGGCATTAATGCCAGACAATGTTCTAAGCACTTCACCAATGGCAACATACTTAGTGCTTTGCGTAGCAATCCTATGAGGTAGTGCTGCCACTGGGCCATTGTATCGATAGAAAAAGAGGTAGAGAGAGATGAGAGTGGCCCGAGTCTGTGGTGCTATCATGTTACTATGGTTTTTTTTTAGAGATTTATTTATTTATTTATACAAGCACTGGGTATAGTCAGAGGCACGGGAGGGTGAGAGAATTCACCAGAGCCAGAGCAGGGAACAGAACAGGCAGACTGATGAAGTACACTGCTGAGGGGAGCAGCGGGCGGCAGGAGAGGTCTGTGTGCCATGTGGGACCCTCGCCTGGGGGCTGGGGATCGAACCCGCACTGCAGAGGCTGTGGACAGTTTCGCAGTCCAGCACTCAACCGCTGCGCCACCGGGGAGGCCCTATCATGTTACTATGTTACTGTAATGAGGATGCTGGTAATTTCCCTGGTTACTTTCTACTTTGTATTGTATTCATTCATTCATTCATTCATTTATTCATTAGGCAGGGAAGCAGTGAGGAGCAACTACCATGTGTCACACATTATTTGGGCATATAGAGGTGACCCAGGCACAGTCCTTGATCCTTATATGCATGAGGGAAGGCCACCAGCTGGAGAACTCTGTATTGGCTCCATCATGGGGTTGGGGCCTCCCTCCTACTCAAGGGTTTAGTTCAGTACCTGGGGCCTCTGAGAGCATTTATATATATATGGCTTCCTGGGAAATGAGAACATGAATGATCAAACTAAGGAAATGAAAGAATAAGAGAAATAGATGCTGTCTGGGGCTAGAGGAGGACCCGGGGCACCTGGACCCTGGCCTATACATCCCTCTAAAAGCTCCAAGCAGGACCCCAGGTGGATGACAGCATGATTCTGGAGCACCTGGATCCCTGGTGGTGCCTTCTCTAGAGTCTTGCCTGGAAGTTCAGGCCAGGCCACATTGCTGAGGGACCCAAGCTCCAGGCCCTGCTGCTGCCCAACTATGCAAGGGCACATCCCCTCTGGACTTGGAATGAGGGCAGGTGCTGGGGGAGCTGCTTTGAAGTGCATATTTAAAGTTAGGATTGAGAAGGTGCCTGGTCTCTGTTACCAGCTTCTGGGATCCCTGGAGGTTCCCAGATCTGGTCCTGGGCTCTCTATGGGCACAGGTGTGGGGGCGGGGAGGGGAAGGGTAATGAGCAATGGTGTTCTGGTAAATTCTCAATAACCAGCTCTCAGGGGAGGAGCATTTGGAGCATTTGCAAACTGTGGTTGACATAAGCTTCCGCCGTGTGAATAAGCTTCCGCCGTGGCTGATTCCAAGTTACGGGTGTGATGTCACTGAACCTGGTGCTGGGAGGAGATGAGCACAACAGGCCCTTGCAACCAGCTGCCTCCAGTGCTCTGCTGAGCACTCATTGGCCTCCTGGCTTTTCTTGTGCTGTTCTCCTGTGTGGCATACCCTCCCCCTCTCTTGGTGGACACCCAATGATCCTTGGAGGCTCTGCTCAAGCAACTGCTTTCCTTAAAGTGAACTCTCCCACCTTCCACCAGGCTCTCAGCACCTGGCATCTCCTTGCTGTGCCCCATGGCTGTCTGTCCAGCCTGTGATGTTACTTCTCCCCAAGTGACACCCCAGGGGTGAGGGTCTCTTTCTTCTGCTGCACAGGCTGTACATAGAGATACAGACCAGGCAGGATGGGAGCTCCAGGAGGGCCGGGCCTTGTCCAATCATCTTGAGCTACTCAGACAAGCACAGGCACTGGTGAGGGGTGGTAACTGGGTGCTAGATGAATAGATGACTTAGTGAGAGGCCCATGGGGCTGCAGGAGCTTGGTTCAGTGGCAGGGTGGCAGCGATGCTGTCACTCACCCCATGCCCTGGCTAGGTCCGAGAGACATCCAAAGGCATCTAGTTCCAAGCAAGGCGGCTGGGTGCTGGTGCCCCTTTGGTACCAGGATCTCTTTACTTGCTGATCTCAGGCCACAGCTAATTATCATAATGGGTTTAAATGGCCCTGCATGTTCTCAGAGTTTGGACAGGACCCATCTGGAGCCTGCAGGTGGGCTGGTTGGTTGTCAGTGAGTGGGCAGACTTCAGCAAGGATACTAGAGGAATCTGAAGTAGCAATTCCAGCCGTTGAGGCCTGAGATCTGCGTGGGGCAACGTGGACTGTCACCATCATCCCACACACTGAGATTCTACAGCTCTTCATAGGTGCCAGGCACATCACCCAGCATTTTACTCTATTAACTCGTTTTGTCCTCACAACGATGCTAGGAGGGAGATGCCATTCTCATGCCCACTTTACAGAGGAAGAAACTGGAGCAGGAGCTCTATGTCAAGGCCAGCAAGCAGGTTCCGGAGTCCCTGCTATTGGTGACAACACGATATCACTTCTCAAAATGGGCATGCACAGGGGACCCTTGAGCCCTCCCCAAGGCCACACCTATAGGCCAAGGGGCCAGGTCCAGCCTGAATCTCCTGTAGCTGCTGCAGCTGTCCCCACCGGGCTGCCCCTGCTGAGACCCATGCTGCCCAGGGCCGGGAGGTACGTTACCAGGGTGGTGAAGATGAAGTGGTAGTACTCGGTCATCATGCCCATGGCCATGGCCTGCGGGAAAGCAGAGCGTTACCAACCCACATGGGTGAGTCAGGTGGTGGGTGGGGGTCACTTGAAGGGAGCTGTTCTCTAAGACCACCTCTAAACAGTGACAACGACTGGCTGGGGGACAGCAGTGCACTTCACACTGGGGTGTGCAGCAGATTAAAGGGCAGATTTTTGCTTCCTAGCCCCCCGCTACCCCATGCCAAGAGTCCAGACTCCTCAGGGCTGATGCACACAGCATCTCTGGGCCTGCCAGGCATAGATGTACCGACAGAATGGGCCCAAGACCACCTTCTCCAGGGCACTGGACCCCACTCTGCTGACCTCTGTCCTGGCTCCGGAGAGAAATCCAGAAGGTGGGGCGACTACCATCCATCCAGGACCGAGGAGGGATCCTGCCCCAAGCCTGAGCCTCTCCAAAAGGGCTGAGATTTGAGGCACCCCTGCATCCCAGGCCTGGCTGACCACAGAGGAAGCCATGGTGCCATGGGACAGTTCTCCCATGCGATCACGAAGCTGTGCTTTACATGCTACAGTGGGGGTGGGGGTGGGGTGTGTGTGTGTTTGTGTGTGTGTGTGTGTAATATATCTTACTAGGAACCTATAATCTATGCACTAAGGACTATAGTGCATTTTCAGCAGAGTTCGTCAGAGTGCTGAGCCCACACAGCACTCGGGGGAATGTCACTCTATGAAGCAATGTGGGAAACGCTGTCTGTCTCTGGCTCCTGGGGACTCGCAACCCACACCCCCTTGGAGAGACTCCGGGGAGCCCTCAGTCTGCAGCCTTGCCTAGCCTTGTCTATAAAGTTCAGGGTTTAGCTGAGCATCAAGTCTTTTTTCCAGAAGTTTTCAAGTCAGACAGTTAGGAGTAAATTCTGGCTTCCTGACCAGATGACCTTGGATGCATTACCTTCCCTTGAGCCTCAATCTCATTACCTGTAAACTGGGCATGAAAATCACCCCCACTTCCAGGAGGAGCTACAGTGTGCCTGCCTCAGGAAACCCAACTGTCACTGTCATCGTCACAAGAGAAGGGACGCAGGGGCACGGTGGCTAGGAGAGCGAGGGTGAGGGCCGCGCACTTCCTCGGCAGCGCCTGTGAGGATGCCCACACGCCCACCTGGGCTGGTCACGAGGACAAACTCTTCTCTTGCCTTGTCTCCCTGACCCTTGTGACTATGAGGTTCTGTTCTTTGCTCTATCTGCAGAGGAGGGGTTCATTTGGGTGCGCTTTCTGGGGAGCACTCCTGGCAGGTGTGGCGTCAGGACTCAGGTGTCAAGGGCACTTTCTAGCTACTGTGTGAGGGGCCCTATGTGAGGCCTCTTCTCAGGGAGATGGAGGCTGCTGGGCGGCTTGGGTGTCCCCTGGGAGGGTCCAGCTGGAAGGTGGCACAGGACCCCCCCAGGTCTTGAAAGCACTCCTGGTCCCTGCTCACTGCCCCTCCTGGCACTCCCTGGCCCCTGGGCCCCCTCTTGCCACCTGCATCTCGCAGGGGCACGTCAGGGCCTCACAGAATGCCTCCTCTAAACACGGGGAGCTCTCGGGGACCACATAATTGCCTTTGACACAAAGCACTGGCTTGAATGGGCTGCGGAGCACCAGGAGGGGGCCGTGGGCGATTTCACTGTTTCTTAGGGGCTGGCAGAGCTTGCTCCCGTTCCCATGAGGGGCTGCGTCTGGAATGAAGGCTTGCCCTGGACCGAGATTCCTTCTCCTCCCCCACGACACTGCAGTGCTGAGCAGATGGTGCGTGGAGCCTCGATAAACCTCCTAGTAATAGGAGAGTTAACACCAAGTGCTGCAGGCTGGGGGGATTAGTCTCCAGAAGAGGTGATGGGGAGCTGCAGGGGCTGCCCCGAGACCCCTGGAGCCTCTCCGTGCTTCCTAAAGTGTTCTGTCCTTCGTGGCTTTTTTAGGTCTCTCTCAGCAGTGCCTGCCTCCCACCAACACGGAGGTGGCAGGGACATCGGCATTCACGCGTGCCCGCGTGCACCAGGCCTGGTAGTAGCAGCTCATCCGTCGTCTCATTCCACCCGCACACCGACTGGGAGGACAAAGACCACAGTGTCCATTTCACTGCTGGTCAAACTGAGGCTCAGAGAGGCAAAGTGACCCCCCGCCCCCGCCGCCAAGGTCATGCGCAGAAAGGGGCAGAGCAAGGGATCTGACCAAATGGAACTGACATCACACCTTATCTGCAGAAGGGAGGTGGGGAAGCAGCAGGCAGGTCCCCATGGCCCTCCCCCTGCCCAGCGCTCCTCACCTGCTTGAGGATCTGGGCAGCCATGGTGTGGCTGCAGTCGAAGATAATGCGGAATTCTCGGCCTCGCTTCATCTCCTTGAGCAGTGGGCGGGAGTCGTCAGAGTCGAGGGGGAGCTGGCGGATCTTCAGGCGGATGTTGTATCTCGACGGGGCCATGATGAGCTCCTGCAGCCGGATGAGCCCTGAGGCGACAGGAACATGTGTGCATACCTGTGTCCACGGCTGCAGGCACCCCCAGACGCGGTGCACACATGCCCATGTCACAGGACTGCAGACACACATGCACACATGGCCCATGGATGTATCCAGACAGGGCGTGAGCACCCTCAGGCACAGATATGTGTGAGCAGTTGTACACACCTGCACGTGCACCTAGAGGTATATGTATAGACAGACAGAGATGCACACACACAAGCTTGTTTACACAGACAGGACACACCTTAGGCTGATAAACATGTGTGCAAATGCAGATTAAGGTGTGTGCATACACAGATGCATGTACACACATGTAGTTTCAAAAGTAGGCACAGATAGGACAGCAAATTCCCACTGACCACACCCATCCTCTCCTCTCTTGACCCAGGGTGGATGAGTGGACAGATGTGTGGAACCCCAACCACAGGCCACCCCACCCCTGCAACATGGTGAGGCTGGGGACCTGCTGCCAGGCTGTGGGTGCAGGTGGTGGCTCCGGGGGCAACTGTACTGACTGCTGGACTGGAATGGGAGAAGTCAGGGGGTATTTGTGCCTCAGTGACCCTCACCTACTCTTTCAGGACCAACGCAACCACCTCCTCCTCGAGGTCAACCTCTATTGCTGTGTCCAAACCCTCCTCCCAACCCCTCAAATCAGTGGCCTGCCCCCTTAGCATCAGCCTCCTCTAGCCTCGTCTCAGTCCACTGTCCTGCCGAAAGCTCCTCAACCTCACAGGCTTGGTTCTCTCGCCCCAAGCACAGGGCTGGCCCTTAGGTGACACTCAACACAGATTTCCATAATTGGGTGAGTTGCTGTTTTTTTTTCCCCATACTGAAAAATCCATCCTGCACCGTAGCATTTTGCTAAACCACTTAATCTGGGGACTTCCAGGGAAAACTGAATGTCACTTCCTGGAGACAAATGACTTGCTTAGGTCTAATTAAGTTCATTTCTGTCCTTATTTCAAGGTCCATTCTTGCTGACTCCTCTCTGCCTAGCCTGGAAGCAACCCTGTTGTTATTCTCTGCCTACCCCACTGAGCCAGGCCCACGCAGGCCATCTCCTCCCACTTGCCTGGTTCCCTGCCCACCCTCAGGCCTCAGTTTCCACATCTGGCTGCATTATCCTCTCGTCCATTTCCTCACCGACGTCACTCTGGTTTTCTTTTGGGGAACAACTCCCCCGGGCTCAGTTGGTGTGATGCAGCAGGGGTCTCCCCCCAGTGCCAGGGCACAGCATGGAGCCACGCCATGGCCAGTCAGCACACACACTGCTCTAGGCATAGGGCGGGGCCTAGAGACGGATGTGTGATACTAGGGAGTGACTGCCAGAAATTGTGCTGGAGCAACTTAAACCCCTTTTCCATTTAACTTCAAATAGGGAGGATGTAAGTCTGGGGCTCGCCATATAAAACCTGGGAAGGATTATAATAGGGCAGAAGTCAGGAAGGACAGAGGGAAAGTTAAGTCCTGATGACATCCATTTGAGCCTCTGCACCTAAAGGAACCTGAAGCTGAACTTACTCCTGAACTTTCCAGTAAGGGCAGCCTACAACCCTCATCCTTAACCCTCTCTTTTTGCTTAAGCTATTTTGTGTTGGGTTAAAGTTTGCCATCAGCAGTCATAATGTCCTTGATCTGAAGAGTCCCCTCCACTCCCAGCCCATTTGAAAAGGCTTCCCACAGAGTCCCAGTTTCCAAAGCCATTTTCTGGTACATGTACCCATGTCTATTCAGTCTCTCACCCCTATTCCTAAGGGTGGAATGTCAGGGAAGCAATCTGATTGGTGCCCATCAGCCACTGGTGGCAAAGGACAGAGTAAACCCCTGGGATGAAGCCTCCCAAGTGCTCCCTATCGAGCTTTGTTGTGACTTGATTGGGGGCAGGTATCCGGAGCCCCAGCCCCTGGAAGGTCTCAGGCCCAGGTGCCTGTGTTGGGAGAGCCTCTGGACCAACAGCTGCCCCAACACTCAATACCAGACTTGATGGTGAGGAAGAGGATATGACCTCAGGTCAACTGACCTCAGGAGGGAGGGACCACAAGCTCAAACACACACCCAGCTCCTCCCCGCCCCCAACTGCTTCCAGAAATTCTTCATTTGACTAAATGGTGCCGCCCACTCATACCTGTTACCTCTAAGGCCCAGAGTCACACTTTGCTCCCACTCGCTCAGTTTTCAGACTCACGCACAGCATCAGCAGGCATGTGGGTTTTGGGGATTGGGGACATGAGGACAGGGACAACCTGGATTGTGGAGTAGAGGCCGCCAGAGCCCTCTTGTCAACCAAGCGCACTGCCCCGTGTAATGTAAAGTGACCCACATTCTCCAGCAGCAGATGTCAGGCCTCCTTCCCATCAGTGTATTCCCAGCGGAGGCAGGAGGCTCGACTCGGCCCACCCCAACAGAGCACTGGGTTCCTTTGTTTGCCTGAGATGAGCTTTCCTTCCCGGCTGCTTCCCTAATCAATCTCTCTCAAAATATCTGCAGTGAATCATGGTTGGTGGAATCATGCTTTTTACTTACAAAGCACTTCTGCACTCGTTACCCTGCGTAACCATCCCCCGGTCCTAGACGGCATGCAAAGCAATGCTACAGACAGAGAAACTGAGGCCTACGGAAGTTTGGTGGCCACCGCCCCCCCCACACACACCCCAAGTTCCTCCCAGCAATGGTCAAAATTTGAGACCTGGGTCCTTTTTTCTACCCATGGTCATTCTAAGCTCCTTCCTTCGACCTAGGCTTGTCTTTGTGTTCAGAGCAGTTAGGAAGATGGCCCAGGGCAGAGCTCATAGGGCAAACTCTGTTGGCTCCTGTGATAATCATTCTCATATTGCCATGATGATTTGGCATCTGGAAATCACAGGCCAAACTAACATCCAAGGTTGTTTACATCATGCCATCCCTATGATTGCAGAGGGCATAAACATACTATCAACTCTCCAGCCACAAACCCTAACCTCCTTGTTTTGCTCCCTGCCCAACAGGGTATGTCCCTACCTGCCAACATTTGCCCCTGTGGTCATAAAGACTCTTGCCCCTGCTTTCCCCTCACCCTTACCTCCTGCCCCCTACCTTCTGCCCAGCCCAGGTGCTTCGCCAGGTGACCCTGGGTGGCACAGGGTGCCGGCTCCTGCCTTGAGGGCACCCAAGTAACACTCTAATCAATGTCATGTCACTACTTCTCTGGGCCATCTCTTGTTCATACCTACTAAATCCTGGGTACATTGCAAGGGTAACCCTAATTCTTCATACACACCCCATAGCCACACCTTTTGCCATGTAATAACTTTGTGGTGAGCACCCTCCACATGGGCAGGGGGCCTGGACCACCCATGACACTGGGCTCAACCATGTGACCTGCTCAGAACAACAGGGTAGCAGCAGGCGTGACACAGGGGATGCTGGAATGGTGCCCCCTGCACCCGTGCCACTGTTGTGACAACTTGCCTGAGTTAGCTGTGAAGATGCACGACACATGGAGGAGACCCAGTCACCCTTGTCACCTCAGCCCGGGCTAACCCAGATCACTCAATACTCAGCTTCCCACAGGCAGGGCAGTTTCCTGGTCCAGCCGAGACCAGGAAAACCACAGAGTAGGCACTGAGTCTGCAGATGTTTGTGAGCTGAACAGACACCTGTTGTCTGGAGCCACTGAATCTGATGAACCACTAGGTTTGTCAGACAGGATGGCTGCAGAAATGGGTGACCTATACGTCTCTGCTAGCATCTGGGAGCCGTGGCTCACCTGGGTGGCAATGTGCCAGTCCCAAGAGACGGCTGGATTTGGGAGGAGCCACTCAAGGGCAATCCCGTTCCTGACCGTGCTTGGAGGAGCAGGCAGGGGCCCAGTGAGCTCTGCAGGGTGGTCTGCTAGAAACAGATTCTCCGCCCTGACAGAAGACATGAGTCAAATTAAGAACATTTCCTTTGGTACCCGCCATTCTTGAATCCTCTCCCCAGCCAGACTGTCCTCTGCTAACATGGCCACGCCCATTCTACCTCCTGCTCTGCTGATGTGGTTCTCTCCGCTGTGACGCTTCACAGCTCCTCTCCCAGCCCATCCAGCTTCAGGGTCCCGCTCGTGGCTCGCCCCTCTGGTCAGTCAGCCAGACTCACCGAAGTCCCAGAGTTTCCTCTCCCCAAGTGTCTTTAGCTCTACTAAAGGACATGGCACTTGATTCTTAGTTTGGATAACAGGGAATGACCCTCTGGGTGGGCACCTGCTCCCCATACAATATCTCAAAAGAAGATGTGAAACCACATTCTCATTTCTTTTTCCTCCTCCTAGTGCCCAACATACTCTTTCAAGCAAAATATAGTTGTAGTTTATTTTAACTTGACTTTCAATTCAACTCAATTCAACAGCACCATCATGCCAGTCTCTGCTAAGCTCTAACAGAAAGTTCCTGCTCTGGAAGCAGAAACAGCTGGAAAGATAGACACAGACATCTATTAAAATGGGCTGCAGAAACACTGGAGGTAACTTGGAGCTGAGCAGGAGCACCCCTCAAAGGCAGGAAGCACTGGGCCAGGTTAGGGAAGCCCTGCCTTCAACGATGCCCAGTCTGGTGCTATTGCAAAACTTAGGAGAAGCTTGTAGAATCCTGAGATAAATAAATAACTTCCCGGCTGTCTTTTCTGAGGGATTCTCTCCCCACGAGTCCCACTACCCATTAGGAGGTAATCAAGAGCTGACATTGAATCGCAGGCAGCTGAGAGCTGGAGGGCTCTTTCAGGCTGCATGCTGCAGCTCTTGACCTGACACGTGGGCAGAGCAGGGCTAGATGGGTTAAGTGACTTGCCACGGTCACTCTCTATTAAGAGGCTGGGCTAAGGAACGTCTTGGAACTCGAGTCTTTTGGAAAGAAAGAGGAGGAGAGCAAACAGCTCTGTGCTACTTAGAGAGCCTCAGAGCCTGTGCACACATAACTGCCAGCTTGTGTCCAAAGTCTGAGTGTGGAGCCAGCAGGGAACTGGATGTGCTCACTACAGATGGGAATGTGCAAGCAGAGGATGCAGGTGCTCAGGTGGCAGGTGTGGCTGTGATGGTGCAGGCATAGGTGCAGGCATGCAGGTAGGAGTGCAGGTGCTCCGGTGGGTGCTGAGTATGCTGCTGGGGTGAGGTGGCAGGTGAAGGCGAGGCAGGTGTGAGGGAGACTGGGGCAGAGTGAGCTGTGCCTGCAGCTAGTAGGGAGCTCAGGGATGAGCGACAAGGTAATTGCATGAAGCTTGGCTGACCTCCCCCCTCCCAAGCAAGTGCTGACCTTTTCCCCAGGGACTGCTGAGTGGGCCAAGCAGTTAAGAGCCCGATCCCTTTCCCGCCCCCAGCCCTGCCAGGCCTGACCACCCACCTACCTGTACTGTCATCATAGACCACGGTGGCCGACCGCCACTTGAGGTACTGGACCAGGTCGAGGATGGCGTGGCTGAGAGAGGCGTAGTCAGGGTAGAGGTTCACGTAGAAGGTGTCCTTGTTGTCCAGCGGGTGGTGCTTCCAGCGCAGCTGGATGTGGGGCACCTCCAGGGCATTGCAGATGGACTGGACGGCATTGGTGCAGGAGCCCTGTGACGGCCCGAAGATGGCCACCACGCCCAGCGCCAGCTGGTCACAGGCTGCAGAGAGGAGGGCAAATGGCTCAGGGATCAGTGCTGGACCTCGCCATGCAGCTGGGGGCCGATGGCAAGGGGGGCAGTAGTGGTGATGATCCCATAGACACGTGGGGAAAGCAACTCTTTAAGAGGTGACCACCGCCAAGCTTTGGGACTCTGTTTCCTTATCTGAAACGGCTGGAAAAGCCCCGGCCTCATGGAACCACAGGCAGGTCCCAGGAGATCCCGTGTGCACGACCCTCCGCACAGCGTTCACGATACAGAAACGATCACTTTTGAAGCTGACGTCAGCGTGATGACACAAGCTGACACAGCTCCACACCAGTCCTGGCTCTGGGTGGGGACGTGAGAAACACACAGGAATCAAGCACCTGCTGGCTGATGACTCTTGAACCTCCAGCCCTGGCCTGTCCCTGAAATCTAACTGGTACCTCTCACCTCCTCTCAACACCGCCACTTATGTGTCCAAGAGGCATCTCCAGCTAACGTGTCCACACCGTTACCTCGTTCCTCTAGCCTCCCTGTCTCTGCAAGAGGCAGCTCCACTGCCCCGGTGCCTTAGGCCAAATCCTGGTTTCATCTTGATTCCTCTTGTTTTCTCATACCCCACATCCCACTCCACAAGCAACTCCTGTTGCTTCACCTTTGAAATACACCAGAGCCTGACCGCTTTTTGCCACTCCTAGCCTGGTCCAAGCCACAGTAATCATCTTTCAATTGATGATTATAGAAATCTCCTCCCTCTGGTTCCAGCTTCCTCAGTAATCCTCCCGGCCATCTGCTCTGCACTCGGCAGCTGGAGCGAGCTTTCACAGCCCAAGGTGGAGTGCACTGTTCCTTTGCTCCAAGGGCTCCTGACTCACTCGTGTAAAAGCCAAAGCCACTTACAGTGCCTGATGAGCCCTATTCCCCACCCCCAGGACCCTCCCCACCCTGCCTCTCAGCCATGATCTCTACTTTTCTGACTTCCTCTCTGGTCCTTCTTCCCCATCCTCACAGCACTCAAGTCCCACTGGCTTCCATGATCTTCTTCCAACATCCTAGGCATTCCCTGACTCCCTGCCCCAGGGTCTTTGCACTTGCTATTCCTCCTGGCTGGAATGCTCTTCCCTCAGATAGTCACATACCTCCTCCCCCCCCTCCCTTCAAGTCTCTTCATCTGTGTGTATTAGGGGGGCAACATACTTGCTCCTTCTTTAACAAAAAAACCTTCATCACAACCTGGAAAGCCAGGTGGGAATGGAAACTTCTCATTCATGTGGAACTGGAGCCCCCACCTCCTCCTCTTTGATTGCTGGCTTCACCCTGACCCTTCTGGGCCGTGTGCTCTCACATGTCTGAGCTCTGTCCATCCCAGGCCACCCCCAGGCCACCTCTCAGAGTGTAACTATGGCAGTGTGGCTCGCCTTCCAGAGGACAGCCTCTTGGGCAAGGTCAGTTGGCCAGGAAATTCAGGGTTCTAGGTTCATGGGGCAAAAACAGAGCACAGGTTCCTAGTAGGAAAGTCCCTTTGGTTCCACTCACCCCTTGTCCTGGGAGAGTTCTGGCCAGAGGAGGGTGAAGGCAGCCCTTCAAAGCACAGGCACTGAGAAATGGGTCCTCTTGCCTGGGCTAAGGGTACACCAGTGAAATCAAAGACACAGTGTACTTGTGAGTCTGCCTTAATGTGTGGTCTCCAGAGTGCTTTACCTTTCCACTGACATCCGCCCTCCTCCCTCACTGTCTCCTGGGAATATCATATAAGAAAGTTATCTTTCCTGAAACTCAAGAACCTGAAACCCCCAAGAACCCAGAGAATGCCACTGGCCAGGTGAAAGGCCAGCACCCCTGGGGGGAGTCTGCTGGAACCACTGGAACATGAGACAGGACAGCCACATGCAAGAGTCCGCACGGGTGAGCCAGAGGGCCTCTCCTGCGTGACTCCTCCTGATTGATGCCAGGTGCAGAAGAGGACAGACAGCAGGGCACATGGTGCCTTCTTGGGACTGGAGGCCAAGTCAGGGAAATGCAGTTTTGTCCCTGCTGCTGTTACCCTGGCATCAAGAACCTGGGGTAGCTCTCTGTGCGAGATAACCCCTGTGATAACAATGCTTCAAGAACAGGACCTTGGGGTGTCCAATTTAAGAATGGCCCTCCTTTCAGTGCCATGCCCCCAGGAGGCCATGCTGTAGCCTGCACCACTGCCCAGCCCTGCTGCTCCTTCCTGCTGCCATTCACACTGAGTGGATATGCCGAGCCTCTGTGCCAAGCAATTTGACCCTCTAACAGCAGGCATGCCCTGAGTAAGAGATTACCCATGAATCACTTTGAGGCATGGAAGTCAGATATCAACATGGAGAAGTGACAATGAGTAAGTGACAGCTGACCAGGCCAGTCACTCTCTCTTGCTCAAGTCTAAGACAGCGGGCACCCTACAAAATCTGTAGGCTTCCTTCATATTCTACTTCCCGCTTCTGTTTTGACCCTTTGAGGTGGCCACTGATGTCTCTGCTTTCTTTTCCCTCTAGGACCTTTAGACTGATGACTTAGCCCAGTGACTGGTGTGGCTCACTGCCTCTCACTATCATCACCACCTCTCACTACTACCCCTAAGAGTCTGCCTTTTGCATTTCCCTCTTTGACCTATCCCTTGAATCAGGTGGGCAAATACTCTCCTGCCAACCCAACCTCACCCGCCCAATCTCTTAGATCATGCCCCTGCTCTGGCCCAACATCTGGCTATCCTGTTTGACTGCAATAAGAAAGAGTGGGCCAAACACATATTATGGTGATGCAGAGGACTGTAAGAGAGATCTTGAAGGAAGTGGTTTTGACATTGTAAATATCATGACAAAGGTAACTGTAATGGCAGTCATGATGGTAGATGTGAACAATACTGTTAGATATGGTTGGTGATCACGGTGATGACACTGATGAGAGTGGAATAGGTGATAGTGTTGATGTGACATACTGTTGGGATGGTGATGATGGGGTTGCAATGATAAATATGTCAATGGCATGGTGATAATGGTAATGCTGATGGTAGTGATGATGATGGTGATGTTGGTATGGTAATGCTGAAAGAGAAGGTGGTAACAATGCTGACAGTGATGATGGTAATGGCGGTGTGATGAAGACGCTGAAGCCATGACATCATGGTGGTGATGATAGCAGGGGGAGATGCTGGCAGAGGTGATGGAGGAATGGTGAAGATGCCAATGCCCCAGCAGGAACAGTGGTGATGACAGTGGGGATGGTGTGGTGATGTTCGCTTAGATGAGACTGGTGATGAGGATGCGGCTGTCATGGCAGTGAAGGAGAAGATGGCAGGAGGGGCGCTGATGGTGGTGGTGATGGTGTGAAGAGTGGAGGTGATGCCATCATTGATACTGGTGACAGAACTTGTGGTCATGGTGTGTTGGTGCTGATACTGGTGGCAATGTTGGCAATATGGTGATGATGGCCGTGCTGGCTTTCATTCTGCCAGAGACCCAGTGACTAATTCTCACTGTTGCGGGGGGCAAGGGCCTGTGCTGCCTTCACCTATTTCTTGGCTGCTCTCCACATCCCTTTTCCTGTCCCTTCCATGTTCCTTCCACCCTGAGGATGTCTCTGCCTGGAAGAACACTGTTGTCCCCAAGGAACCGGGGCAGGTTGTGGTAGCAACAGCAGCAGCAGCAGCAGCAGCAGTAGTAGGCTTATCTCCAGATGTTTCCAAGGCAGCAGCCAGTCCTTGTTCTGGCAGCCCTTAGCACATACACTGCAGTAATTTCATTATTTGTGGCTTCAATTTTGAATCCATTTTCTGGTCATTTTACAGTAACTCAGTGGTTCACAGTCTTTGCAGGCAGCCACAGCCTGAATGCAGTCCCCTCCCCTTCTCCATGGCAATTGTAGTTATAGCAAAAATTATCCCAATCAATTTGTGTCTTAAAAGGAATTGAGCAGCCCAGAGAATAAGTGAAGGCAGAGGATCCTGGGGAGTGCTGGGTCGATTCCAGGCCCGCTCGGTCAGGCTTGGAGAGAAACACAGCTACCCGAGCTGCTGGCCCGGAGCTGCCTGGCAGCCACTCATCTTTTAATTTTCCACAAAACATTTACAGATGAAGACAATACATGAAAGCCCCTTTCAGAGGGGAAAGGCTTCCTGAGCCCCAAATGGAGGGAAGAACTAATATTCAACCAGGCTCCGTGCCGCTGCCTGCCTCCCCCTGGGGCCTGCGGTGGTGGTCCAGCAGGTGGAAGAGGGAGTGGTGAAGGAACCTGCGCCTGCAGAGAAGGAATTATCATCAGGTTAATTAGAATTAGGCCCAAGTTCACCCCCTGCAAGGGTCTAATGATGCTCCCAAGGAATACATTTTTAAAAAGCAAAGATCAAAAGAAAACATGAAAATCACGGGAACTTGGAGCTCCCTGAGGGCTGGGGGGTGCTTAATAGGGAGCATGATCCAACAGCAGAAATGCCTCCTGGGTTAGACAGCAGGGCTTCCCGCCACAGCAGGGCTCTGTCTTAGGTATAATCAGAGGGGCATTAAGGGGGAGTGATGGCAGAGAGGAGACACAATTTTTTTTTGAGCTATAGCAAGATAAAGTATATTCATTTTAAATACAAACTTTCATGAAATTTTACATATAACTGCACTTATGTCACTACCACTTGGATCAAAATACAGAACATTTCCAACACCTAAGAAGGTTCCCTTGTCAGGTACTATTCACTGCTCACTCCTCCCTGCCCAGAGGTAACCATAGTGTACACAAGCCACATCAGCTCTGGGAAGCTCATCTGTGATGTTGTGTGTGTCAAGATATTGTCCTTTTTTTATTGCCAATGGTAATTCATTTGTATAACTATACCCCAAGGCACCCACTGTCCTGTTGATGGCGTTTTAATTTATTTCCACCTTTTGGCTACTGTCAGTAAAGCGGCTTGGACATCCCCACAGGTAGACACACCTAGCTTTAGGAGATCTTCTGGACATTTCCCCGAGAATTTGGATCAGTTTTCATTCTCACCAGCTTTGTGTAGAGAAAATAAACCTCAACCCCTACCTCCCACCCAACACATAAAAATCAATTTGGGGTAGATCATAGAGCTTACTATGAAAGAAAAACAATAGAGCTTCTAGAAGAGAACTTGGAAATACCTTCATGAACTTAGGATCAACAAAAAAACACATGATGGAAAATATTGATAAATTGGATTTCTTTAAATTAGGAACTTTGCTCTTCAAAATAAACTACTGAGAGTGAAAACCAAACTCATTAGTGACAGACGTAGGCAACACATATTTCCAACAAAGGACTCTTAGCAGGATATATAAAAAACTACAAATCAATAAGAAAATGACAAGCAACTTGATTTTTGAAATTGGTTGAAAGGCTCAAAAAGGCACTCCAGGAAAGAGAAGATTTAAATGATGTTAACATATCAGAAATTGTTCCACATCTGGCTCCTCAGGAAATACAAAATAAAGCCACACAGATGCCCACACGAGATCACCCAAGTGGCCAAAATTGAAAACAAGACAGACTTTATCAAGAGTTATAAGAGAGTAGAACAACTGTCCCGTCAGCCGTTGCCAGAGGGAGTGCAGGTCAGTGAAGCAACTTTGGAAAATTGTTTGGCTGAAGAATTGTTAAACTGCGGTATATTCATATATTGGAACACGGTCCATGAAGAGCAGTGGGCTTCTGCTGCCTGCCACACCGCAGAGGAACGTCGTGGGTGTACTGAAGGGTGAAAGGCACAAGATTTGCAAAAGCACGCACTGGTGGTTTCATTCATACAAAGTTCAAAAACAGGCAAGAGGAGCTTCTGACAGCAGCAGTCAACAGTGGTCCTGCGGCAGAGCCGTGAAGAGCAAAGGCATGTGCAAGGTGGTGGAAGAGAGGGACAGTGATCACATGCACACCTACACACATATACACACAACATACAACAGCCAAGCCTGTGAATGAAAAGTCCAGAGTGTAATAAATTGGAAGCAGGGGATTTGATCTGATCTGGGATCTCAGGGAGGGCTCGCCAAGGACCCAAAGTTGGAGAGCAGAAGGATGAGCTAGCAAGACAAAGGGCAGAGGGCATGCATGGGATGGGGCAAGGGAATTACAAGCAGAGGAAACGGAAGCATGGCACCCCGAGGTGGTGCTGAGGGAGTGACTGGCAGGGATGGGACAAGACTGGACATACTTGGACAAGACTGGACAGACTCTCATCCTGATCTGGGGAAAGTGGGGTAGGCTCCAATCAAGTCATGTGACGTGGTGTAAGGCAGGGAGGGGCTGTGGTTCTGGTCACTTGGGGTTCAAGTCTGGAATTCCAGAGTTGGACGTTTCTGCTTGGGGCTGCCCACCCACCACCCGGGAGCTCCCGTGGTATGGACTATGAGTCCAGCCAGAGGACTTGCCTTCGAGGCGCTGAAGTGCTGCCTGGGGCTAGCTGCGGGCTGGGAAAGCCCCGGCACTATACTGCAGGCGCCCCGCCAGGGAGTCACTGTATCATTCTATGATTTCTAGGAAAAACGGACAGGAGATCCAGCATCGCCGTGGGGGGCTGTGTCATGTAGGCCTCGGCATGCGATTCCAGGCATTTGTTGTGTCCTGACTTTCTCACTGAGCAGCTGTGGCTGAGGTTAGTCATCTTGTAGCTGGGCGAGGTCAGGCAGAGGGTGCCAGCAGGAACTCCCGGCAGAGGGTAGAGACCTGACTGCACAGTGCTGGCCACAGGGCTGGGGACCGAGGGGGTGGGGGGGTGGGCAGGAGGAGGGCACATCAGCACAGAGGGAGGGGTGACCAGCAAAGGCTAACAGGGTGGGGTGCCACTAGTCATTCTGTTGGCTCTGAGACTCAGGGGAATGGACTAAAAAAATGTCAGCAGTGACTATGTTCAATGTTAGGGATGCTCTGACCATGAGCACACAGGGCAAGGAGGGGTGGGGTAGGTGGGGCAGGGACTAGCTGTGAGTGCACAAGGCCTGAGGGCCCTGACCTGATAGTTCAGTCTGTGGAGAGCAAGGCAGCCACATAGTAACAGCAAAGTTGCACTGGCACTTGCTACATGCCAGGTACTGTGCTAAGCACGTAACAGAGGTGTGCCCATTTTGCAGGTGAGAAAACTGAGGCATGGGCATTACTTCCAGTCACACAACTAGTATCAGAGTTGGCCCATCAAGTCAGGCAGTCTGGCTCCAAGTCCATGCTAGCAGCCTCTCTGGGCTCAGATGTTTACCCACAGTGAGGTTTTGGCAAACAAGCAGGCAGCACTTGGCAAGTCTGCACCTGGAAACACAGGGGACCTTGATAAGCTACAGGGAATCCCTCAGAAAGACCAAGGGACCCGTATGGGTGGGCCTCTATCCTCCCTAGAAGCGTGGATGATGCTGTGCCTAAGCTTAGCTGACAGAGGTGCTGGACAAAGGTGCACAGGCTCCCACACCCCAGCCTCACATCAGTGACTCACTGAATCATTCAACCATCAATTTACTGAGCACTTACTACATGTCGGTGTTTTAGGTACCGGGACTGTATCAGTGCACGAGAGAGGTTCCTTTCACTCATGCCAGGGAGAAGGGAGAAGCCTAAACACACACAATGACTCAGCTAGAAACTGTGATAGGGAACTTGAAGAAGAAAAGCAGGGGGCCGTGATGGTGTATCATAGGGAGAATGACCTGGGAATAGTTGTCCCTGGGAATCAGATTGCTTAAGCCCAAGATTTTTAAATGGAGTTCCATGGAACTCCAGGGTTCTATGGAAGTTATCTCCAGAGTTATATAAGCCTTGAAATTAAATTTCAATATATTATATACATAACATGCATATGTATATATGTATTATAATATATGTGAACTATATTTCCTAAAGCAGTAACCAAGACGCACACTTGTATACTTAAATGTGTTACATGCCTCACTGGGAACTGTCAGCTCCTTTGGGCGTTGACAGATTACCTTGTTTTTTGTGTGTGAGGATCTTGGAACAAAATTCTCTGTCCTTCTGTGCAGTTATTGGAGTTTATTGTAAATGTATCACTAATGAGGACAGATGCAGCCCAACATTTGTTTTTTATTTTACTTTTAATGTGTGTGTGTGTGTGATGGGGGAGACTTTAATTGGATATGCTACAACTTATTTTTATAAATTATGATTTCTTTGTTATTATGTAGACAAAACAAAATATAGAAACATATTGAATACTGAAGCTGATTCAGACTTCAAGAGTCATCCATGGCCCCTGGGGCCAAGTTGTTACAGTCACTGAAGCAGTCCTGTTGTTTTTACTGTCTTTTTATGGCATGTAAGTGCTGCACGTTTGAACTTACACATTGTCAGTTTGATGTAAATATTTAAAAAATTGAAAATTAAAAAAAATGCTTGAAAATGCCAGCTTCAGTTCAGAGGTATGGGAGACCAGGGTTAGCCTCCTTACTGCTACCTCCCAGCCTCATATCCTACCCCCACCCTTCACCCCCCACCACCCTCCTGTGACCTCTCATTCCCTCACAGCCTGTGCCAGTGACCTGGGAATTCCTGACGAAGACCCACCATTCCTGAGGGATGACACAACCTGAGCTGAGCTGGAATATAGGCAGGATCCCAAACCAGGAGGGAAAGGCTCTAATTTCCATGCCCACCCAGAGCTCCGGCCCATTTTCAGGACCTCGGATAGCAGACAGCCCTGCTCCTTAGGTAGGGAAGAGAGACCAGTCTGGGGTCTGAACACTCACCCTTCTTAGTGGCTTCAAAGCTGTCGTGGAAGTGAATCCTCTGGATGTCGTAGGTCAAGGTTGTATTGGGCAGCAGAGTCCTGTTCCTGTTGATAATGTTGGCAGAAAATCGAAAGGCATGTTCTTCCGCGTTCATGACCTGGGCATTGGGGCCGTCTGCATACTCAAAGATTCCTCCTGTGAGAGATGGGTAAAATTGTATGTAATGGAGAAGGGAGGGGGAAGCTAACAAAGATGTTTGGCTCAGAAGATTCTGTGGACAAGATCTTTCCCCCTAAAATGTTCAATAATACCCTAGATAATTCCCATATACTGAAATTGTACTAGACCATAAGAAATATGAAAATCCTCCTAGTTCATTTTACTCAGCTATCAAATTGCTGACAACAGAGACTGACAAACATAACCAAAATAAAATAAACAACTTATGAATATTTCTATGAAAATTCTTGATAAAGTTCCAGCCAATAGAATCTACTAGAATATTACAAGGATATCATACCATGACCCAGATGAGTTGTATTCAGGCATGTAAGGGTAGTTCAATATAAAGAAATCTATGAATATCATTCCATCACATCAATAGCTCAAAGGAAAAAAAAAACACAATAAACTCACAAAATATAGGAAGGCATTTGATAAAATCCAATATCTACTACTGTTAAGAATGCTTACTAAACTGGCACCAGAAAAGATACTTCCTTGAAGCATCTTTAGCTCAAATTGGCCTTTAATATTACATTGATGATGAAACAGTAGAGGCATTTTCATTACAGGAAAAAAAAGAGGGAGGGTAAGAATTCACAACACACCATGAACCAATGAAATAAGAAAAAAATTTAGAGGCACACCTCTTGGAAAGAGAAAAATTCTTGATAGCAAATTATATAAATGCTTTCTAAAAACTCTTCAGATAAACCCTGAACATTAAAACTAGTAAGAGCTGGAATGAACCAAGGCAAGTTACCACAAATTCATGGTGCTTTTTCATATCAGCAACAACCAGTGAGAAAACTTAATGGCAAAAGGATTTCCTTTATAATATCAAGAAAAATATACAATAACCAGCCAAATAAGAAGTATGGAATTCCAGTATTAAAAATGATGAGAACACGGTAAGCAGGAGAGATAAGGGTAGACTTAAATTAGGAGGTGTGTCATGAACCTGGATAGTTGGGTTCAAGGGTCAAGGTGTCAGGTTTCTCCAAATTAAATTTTCAGCTAATGCAATTCTAATGAGAATCATGGAGGATTTTCTTTCGTTTAGACAAAAATGACTCTAAAATGCATCTGGAAAACCAAAAAGGTAGTAACAGTCTAAAAAGAGATGAGAAGTGACTTGAACTGCCAGATTTAAAATATATAAAAAAGCCAAAATAATTAAAACTATGTTCTCATAGTTTTAGAAATGTGGAAATATAAATAGCTCAATAATAGAATGAAAGAAAAAGCTCCCAGAAAGAGATTCAAGTAGAGATAGGTAAGACATAAGAAAGGGGGCTATATCCAATGGGCAGGTAAGAGATGAATTATTCATTGGTTGTGCTGGAACAATTACTCAATTTATTTGGGAGAAATTTAAGTTAGATTCAATCTTAAACTATATATCAAAATAAGTTCCAGATGGATTAAAGATAGAATAGCAAGAAATTAAGGCAAAGAAGGAGGAAAGAAAAGCAACAAAAATATAGGTGAATATGATACCATACTGAAGAGCAGGCCTTTCTGGGAATTCCCAAAAAGTCAGAAGCCCTTGAATATTGATAATCCCATAGAAATAATATAATAGATATATACATGTCATATATATGAGATATATATATATAATTTGACTACCATAAACAAGATTAAATGGCAAAAACAAAGTTGAAAATTTTATAGCATATATGGCAATATGAAGGTTGATGCTCTATTTTTCAAAAAAGTACTTAAAACTCAACAAAAAAAAAAGACAAAAACATTCCAATGGAAAATATGCAAAGGGCAAGCATAGCTGTTTAACAAAAGCAAAAATACTACTACAAAGGAACTATTCATGTAAGAAGAAACGTGCATTCTCTCTAGCAATCAAATAAACCCAACTAAAGTCTCTTTTTTTGGGTCAATCCCATCAGCAAACAAAGAAAAAAAAATGGTGAGGGTGTTTGGAAACAGTTTGCTTAACTATTGGTGAAAGTGGCCCACCACCTTCCTTGGAAGCCACTAGAAATACATCAGAAGCCTTAAAAGTGGTCATACCTTTGACTCAAGACTTTGGCTTCTAGCAATTGACTCCAAGAGTGACTGAGTGCACAGGCCACATGGGAGAGGGTGCTAGGGCTGTCAACACCAGGGAAATCATAAGCAAGCTGCAATTTGCTATGTATTTCCATATTATGGCAAAATTTAGTATTTAAGAAATACCCACAATATATTTTTAAGTGAAAAGATGAAGGTGATAAAGCAGGAGATGCTGTGTGACCCCAAGTTAGAAGAGGAAGAACTGAAAGAAGAGGGAGAAGCTTTATTATTAACGCAATAGGAGACATTTCAATAGTCCTACCTGATTAATTTTTTATGTTTTTAATGCTTTGCTAAATTTTCCAAATGCACCTTATTAATTTTTTTTAGATTTATTTATTTACACAAGAGCTGAGGTACAGGCCAGATGTGCAGGGGGTGAGAGGATTCACCAGAGACAGAATGGGGAGCAGAACAGGCAGGCTGAATGAAATACACTGCTGAGGGGAGCAGCCGGTGAGACAGGAGAGGTCTGCTGCGCCATGTGGGTTTCTCCGTGGCCGGCCGGGATTGAACCTGCGCTGCAGAGACTGTGCACAGCTTTACAGTGCGGCACTTAACCGCCTGAGCCACCAGGTAGGCCCCAAATGCACCTTATTTTTTTTAAAAAAGGCAACTTCACTAAGGGTTTATTTACATTTAAGAAATCCCACAAAATTCACCTTAAGTATACAAAGATCATTAGTAAATGCACTGAGTCCTGTGATCACCACCCCGATCCAGCTTCTAAATATTTCCATCACCCCAAGCAGATCCCTGTGCCCACTCATGGCCAGGCCATCATTGTCCTCACCCCCAGCCCCAAGGCAACCACTAACTTAACTTCTGTCTCTAGAGATTTGTCTTTTCTGGACATTTCATATAAATGCAAACACTCATCTGGCTTTATCACTTAGCAGAGTGTTTTTGAGGTTTATCCATGTTGTAACAGGGATCAGTGTATCATTCCTTTTTATTGTAAAATAATCTTAGTTTGTATGGATATACCATATTTTATCCATTCGCCAATAGATGGGTATTTGGGTTGTTTCGATCGTTTTGAAAATTAAAAAATAAAAATAAATGCTTTTGAAAATGAAGAAATACATCACCCCGCCCCCCATACTCTAGCAGGCTCACAGAGTGTAACGCACAGTAGGTGTGCACGTAGTCCATGTGGGTGTGCATAAGCGTGAGGAGTGCATGCACACAGACAGGAAGAGCACACTCAAAACACTGAGGGGCTCTTTCTGGGAGGTAGGATTATGGGTGACTTTAATTTCCTTCTCTGTGTTTTTCCTGCATTTTCAAAAAGTTCTGCAGGGAACATGTGTTACATTTCTAATCAGAAAAGTCATGATGTGATCATGTCTGTGTATTTAAAGGAAAAGAAATGATCAAAGCATCATATGACCCAATAATTCCATTTCTAGGAATATAAATTTACACAAAGTTAGAGATACAGAAACACATTTATGTATAAGGATAATCTTGACATAAGGTTGAGAAAAATAGAAACAACTTAATGTCCAAAAACAGGAGAGTACTCAAAATATTAAGATCCACCCATATGGCAGAACAACTTGCTGGCATTCACAGTCGAGGTATGGAATGGCATGGAATGGTGTCTGGGTCTTGCTCTGAAGGGAGTGGATGCAGAGAGGGCACAGACAAGGCAGGCTGCTGGCTGCTGGGCCTGGGTGGTGGCTACACTGAGATTCATTTTGCTATTCTCCCCTAGTGTCTATGACAACACCCTTCAAAATAGAACTTTAAAATCACGGTGTAATGAAGCAAAAATACCAAATTCTGGTAGCGCAATCAGAAAAGAAACATAATATTATTTGCAGATGCTTACTACTGTTCTCTAAAACTCAAGAATCAGATGAAAACCCAGTAGGAACTAAACAGAGAACACATTGAAAGGCCAGCACACAAATATCGAAAAACACAGCCTTCGCATATATCAGCAATAAACTGTGAGGAATTATAAGGAATAAGAGACTCTATTCACAAAAGCAACAAGGAAAAAATAAAATACTTTGCAATAAACGTGCAATTCCTATATCAAGAAAACTACAAAACTTTACTGGGGCACATAAAAGAAGACTTGAATAAATGGTGAGACATAACTTTCTCCGGGAAAGGAAGGCTCAATATTGTAAAGATGTCAGTTCCCCTCAAATTAATTTATAAATTTAATGCAATTCCAATTAAAATCAAAAAGGACATACCAGAGGGCATACACCACAATGTTAACAGAGGTTCTTTCTAGAAAGTAAAAAGATAATGGATTGCTTTTGCTTAGTGCTTTTTCTCTGCAAGTTCTCTGCATTGAAGGAGAGCTTTGGTAATAAGGGAAAAAGCTTTAAAAAATGCTTTTAAAGAATATTTAATGACATAGAAAGTGCTAATCCTCCCTCCTCCCCCCAAGCAACAAATAATATTAGTTTGATGCCTACTTATCAAATAAAAAGTACGCGTTTATATTTACAGCAAAAGGGAAGGATTTTTACCAACACGTTCTTTACTAGTATCTCTAAGCAGAGGAGGTTTGCTCTTTGCATTCCCTTGATCTTTTTCAAATTATTTACAATCACTTTCATGATTATTTTATAATTATGACACAATAAACAATTATGATGCTTTATAATATAGTCATATACATATCTATTAATAATCATATTAAATTATTTTTATTATTTTAAAATGTAAAATTTTACAATGTCTTTGAGTCGGAGAAGAGGTCTGGTTAAAGCACAGTCCCATCCCAAATCAGGGTCAAAGGCCGTGGGGCAAAGAGTAATTTCCTGGGGCTTCACACCTGCTTCTGGGCCCCTCAGGCCTTGGCAGGAGGTGAGGACAGGAGGGGAGGATCCTTCAAAGGGTTGTGCTCATGGCTCAGGCACTGAGACTCC